CCCCGCACATTGATAACTCGCTTATTTCTGTTCCTGTTCCCTACTGTGGTGCAACGCAGTTTCTCTTTCTCTTTCAGAGTGACTCTTTTTTGTTATAGACTTTTTTTGTTATTGTCTTCATTGTTTGTTTTAATTGTTGTTTCAGTCACTGTTGTTTATGTTTATGTCGTCTTCTGGTTATAACTTTATATCTTCTCTCCACCATTTTCTCATTTTTTTCATTTTCATTTTTTTTCTTTTCTTCTCTATTCCCGGTACTGGAAGGATCTTTCTCGTATCACAGCTTTGCTGCATAAATAAATAATAAAAAAGCAATGGTAAGCAATCAAGATCAAATGAATTTTATTTCTGTTTGTAAAATTTAACATCCCGCTTACTGCATAAATTGGTTTTTTGTTGGTTTAATTGATTGTTGTGCAAGCGATCGTAAAGATCACAAGCATTCCTAAAAGTGACAAAAAAACAAAGCTTGTAATATTGACTAGACCGCTAATTAATCTTTTATGTTGTCGTGTTACATCGTATGTGCACCAACAACAATTATTGACGATCTTTTATATTTATTTTTCTAGATGATATTTTACATGTATACAAAAATTGCTCAACGTTTATGACTTATTTTTCAATTAAATCTTGATATGAACATTCATTTTCTATATTTAAAAACAACAGTGAAGAACAAGTAATGAAAAAGATGAAATTTATCTGTATTTTTAATAGTCTTCAAAATGAAACATTCTCGCATGAAATAGCCGACCTTTTTACCTTCTCCAACGCTACATACGAAAGGGAATTTAGAGGTGTCGGAGAAAAAAACAGGAATCAATTATTCAGTCAGTTTCACTGTTGTTCACTTTTGATTCGCTTGTAAATACTTCTTTTTTTATTCCTTTTCAAGAGAACAATAAAATTGATATTATGAAATCCTAAATGTTTAGATGGAAGCTTTTATTCGATTGATGAAAAACAAAATTGAAACGAATACAAATAGAAAACAGAAATATTGTAAACGGATCGTACATATATCATTTGAATTTGATTATTAGATGTTTGTTGATCAAGGAATATGGTCAAACGTACAGAAAGATGAATTCATAGTGTCATCAAACCATTTTCTATTTAAAAGGCCATATGAGTCTTTGTATACGTTCCCGATCGAGCCAATTCGTTACAATACTTGCTCTATGCTTTGGATCGTTGGCGTGTTGGAAGTACCAGTCATTGTTCATGCTCAATTTCTTCACCGATTGTAATAAAGTTTTTTGTAAAATATCTCTATACAATTCGCCAGTCATATTGCCATCGATGATAACCGAATTACCAACGCCAGATGCTGAAAAGCATCTCCAACGCTTAACATTTCCACCTCCATGCTTCACAGTTGGCACTGTACATCTTGGATTAAGTTATTCTGCTGTTGTTCGCCAAACCATTACCTTCCCATCTGAACCGAATAAGTTGAATTTGCTTTCTTCTGACCAAAGGACACTATTCCAGAAGCCCAAAGGCTTTTTACGATATGTTATCAGCATATTCAAGTCTTTTGCCACGGTTAACCTTGTTGACATATGGTTTTCTCCGAGCAACGCGACCGTATAAACCGATTTCATGAGCACGCCGACGAATTTTTGCTTCAGAAATTGTAAATTTAAGTTCAGTTTGAGTTGAGCTTTGATAGATGTTGACGATAGTCGCCGATCAACTTTGATTTTACGTTGTATAATGCGATCAGTGTGACTTGTAGTTTTTCTTTTTCGACCTCTTCCAATAATATTTCCAATACATTTTGTGGATTTATACTTTTGAATCATATAATGAACAGAGGTACGTGGAATTAATGCGTTTTGAGCTATTTCACGCTCATTGTTGCCATTCAGGAAGTGTTTAATAACAACTTCACGTAAGTCATTTGAATATTCTTTCGTCTTCTTTGGCGCCATCACAGTAATTATGTTCTTGACAGCCGACTGAACTATTTTGAACGTACCATACGAACAAACACAAAAAAGAGGGCGCCAGGAATAAGCTCACTAATGATACTGAACAGTTTCGTAATGGTCGGATAATTTTGACGGCCCCTGTATATGTGATGAAATTGATGGCGGAAGATTTCAGCGTCAGCACTGATAATACTGTCACACAACAAAAGTCAGCCCCTTCCTGCATGTCTGGGTTTCTGAAGAACGGCACATCTGAAAATTTTCAAACTTTTATGGCAGACATCTCGTTGAGTAGAGTAAAAGTTCACAAATGCTGTCTTCCATAAGATTATATATTTTTTATCCTGACAATAAAAAAAGGGTCAAAATCGCTCACGTGCGCCAAAAAAACTCTTGTTTTTTTTACTAAGACAACTTTTGTGAAAGCTGCCAAAAGTCACCCGAGCAAACGTTTTTGAAATAAAAAAGCTAACCACTCGAAATAGTCATCAGTCTATGTGGAAAAATCTTTGCTTGATCCCTCTTATCTTGTCCGAAGAACGGGGGGCGAAATATTGCTCTTTTGATTAAAAACTTGAGTTTAAGAAAAACGCAAAAGAAAATTTACTTTCGTTTTTCTCCAGAATACTCATCTTTTTTCCATCCTATTTTAAGTTTTCTAGATTTTCCACTACTGCTCATTCGATATCATGTAATATATTGAATCCGAATGAGAGAAAAACATGTAGATTTAACTGTTTTCGTTCTAAATCGATTCTTATTGATAGGAATTTTCAGTCTTTAGACGATTACTTTCAACCCTTAATTCAAGCTTTCATTGATGTTAATATCTGCCATGATACTAATTATCCGCATGTGAATCCGAACGTATGCGTCTCATGATGATGTCTAAAATAGAGTTCTTATGATTTCATCGTGAACAGCATAATTATTGTATATTTTTCTGTGTCCCAGTTCTTCTTATTAGTTGTTTTCTTTAGTTTTTGGTTTGTGTATTTTGCTCCATCAAATTATTTAAAGATTGAAAACGGTCGCAACCGAAAATTCTCATCAATAAACATCCATTAAAAATTAAAACACATAAATCTACATATTTTTCTCTCATTCGTATTCAATCTATGATATTACAATATTTCAAAATATACAGATGTATTTGAGTCAATAAATTATGTAAGTTCATCGTTTCTTTCTACATCAATATTAATCCAAAACAATAGATAAGAAGCTTTCAAAAACAAAAGAAAATCAATTACATTTATTAGTATTACTGTGAAAAATATTCTTTATGTTTAATCTATCCCAATATGTGCGAAATCAGTAATTCGAAAAAAACAATTCAGAATCTATTTCAAGCCAAGAATTGGAATCGGAATTAGGCATCCCTAGGTATAATTACTTATTTCCACGAAATAATTATTGTTCTCAGCCACACTATATTTTTTCTGCACGATAGAAAGTGCAAAAGTACTCAGGATGAGTGCCTATTATAAGCATATTTTAACAGTCATCATTTATGGCACTTTAAGAAAGTCAGTATGTGTATTTTTCTATGAAGAAGTTGAACTATTATTTTAGTCATGCATATAAAATCAATAAAAGTATTATTTGTTTCAAAATTAATCGAATATATCGCCTAAAGTTATGTAAATTAAATCATTGTTGCAATAACCTACTTTTGAATTTACTCTATCTTGAAAAATAGTTCATCTTTTTCGATCCTACTGAAATAACTTTTGATACCATTTTACAAGTGATATGCCACAATAATGCTATATTAATTAGATAGTACCTGCTTGTATCTTAGCGTATGTTCGACTAATAGAAGTCAATATTGACGTTATTCAATGTAATCATTTAAATTTCCATATATTATGCTACGACATTCTTTTTTGAATCTATTTCACGATATTATAAAGTTGAATTAAATCTGCCCGTGTAGTTAGAAAATTATATTCTACGCCGATAAATTATTCACGCAACCTAGTAATAAGTTCAATCACTAAAAATATTTTTCTATACTCGATACAAACTTCCATCTCTCTTTTTCTTAATTTCATTCTTGCGATCGATTTATGTTTAGATAAAAATGTTTTTACCCTAAGAAATAAAACATTAATGGTAATTTAGTTCAATGGAGTATTACAAACGAACGAAATTAAGATGAATAACTTATTATTGTTGTTTCCGCTTAGATTTTAAGACGTGAACGGCAAAAACAGAGTGCACTTACGATGCAAAAAAGGTACACCCTTCGATATTTCATAATTTTTTCTGCTTCTAGAAATCATACTCATGAGCGCCGGAGAGAGAGGGAGTAAGATTGACCATTAATTTTTTTCTTTGACGTCATATCGTAAAGAGTATTTATTAGCACGCACATTCGCATTAGAGAGTACACATTCATCGAAACAAGCATATAGTCGTGTTTAGTCCCGTCAATATCATGTCACACCATAAATCAATGATTATTATTTTTCTACTTTTGCAGGTATGTTTGTTCTACAAGATAGTCTCCGACCATCTTCTTAATCTATTTTTTTGTTGTTTTTGTTTCACTAGTTGCTGGTCTCATGTTGGGCAGAGTATCGCTACGCACCCAGTATATGGTCAGCTCGACCGATGTCTTTAAGTGATTTAGATGATTATGAAAAAATTAATAACGCTCATCCTGACAACATGAACGAAAATGATATACTTGAAAAGTTTCTCCCAATATCATATAGACCAAAGAAATTTTTTCGTAAAATTAGTCATGCTGGTGATGACGAACGAAAGAAGAAATATCTCTCCGAACCACTCAGTGTACACGACGGGGACAATCTGCAAGGTCTTTGGGCGATGCCTGGGCGACGATAAATATTACAAAAACATTGATAAGAGAACGATACTAGCTCACGCTATACCAAAGTCTATCAAACCAATAATAAAAACATAGAAAGACTAGAGTCCAAATAGCAGATGGTTAATAGTCTCACCATCAAAACTTAATAAATAAATATATGCATTGTAAAAGAAAAAAATTGCTTTTGAATAAAAAAATTTAATAATAATAATAATCATCATTGTAATAGTTGGAAAATGGTGTCGAATTCATTCATAGTTTTTGTTTCATTGTTCAGTTTGTCTGGTGTATTTTCAAGTAGGTACTCGATTGAGCTGTGGTCCATTTCATTTTAAAATTCTTGTCAACAGATATAGTCGATTTCGATTGTTTCGAACGAGCTGATACCGGTATGGGTCGTGCTTATTTTGAAGTTTACGCATGGCAAGCAAGTAATAGAACATGCACCAAATTTGTTTATGGTGGTGCACTTGGCAATCGCAACCGATTCGAAGATATTGAAGAATGCTATCGATCATGTCACGATGCCGTTTTAAGTACGCTAATGCCTTTTTTTCATTTCGCTATTCGATATCATTGCTAAAAATTTTTGTAGATCATCAATTAGATTTTAATCCAACTCGTCGTTATACTGCAGTCAATCGTTTGTATGAAAATATCCAACTCCCATTAAATATCGAACATGTTGATAACGGTTATTTTAAATTAATCCTTTCACCTTTTGCTAAAGTACTTGGCATCACTGATAGAGATGTTAGTTTACAAATATTCAATAATAATCAAACACAACATTGGGATATTATTCCAACGGGCGAAACAAATTATTTTCGAATTAAAACACGAACAAGACCACTCGGTCATTTTGAATACATGTTCTTACAAGTAATCAAGAACGATACAGTTCATCTTAGTATAGATAGACGTGCAAATGATTATCTTGGTCAACAATGGAGATTTTTTTAACTTCTTAAAGAGAAATATATGACATGAAAGTCATTAAAAAAAAATTCAATAGGTCTTTTTAAAATAAAATAAACTCGAATTCATTATATCGATAATTTTTCATTTTAATTTATTAAATTATAAGAGTAAATTTTACTCTAACTCCCTGCTGCCGATACTTGTTTTTATCTAAAAGAAATTTCTACGAAAGACATAGTATTATTTTCTCTACGTAAACTTGAATTTGTCGTAAACAAATGATAGATAAAGATAATCTCTCTTCCAATAAGAGGAAATTATTCTTACGTTGAAAATTTGTGTATACAATTAAAGAAAAACACAAAAAACCTTGGCACGGTCAATGATGGCAATTAATTGTTGTATACAACAATGTTATGTTATTTTTCTTGTTGTTATTGATTTTCGATCGTTCACCTTAACTCAGTACTTATTTTACTACGACGAAATTAATCTTGTCTCTCATTTTACTATTATCATCAACAATGTCAATAAGATATAAAACACAACGACCTTTTTATTCAAAGACAGTGTTAGAACACGTCTCTCTATTGCGAAATTAAATGAACACGTATAGATATAAAAGAAAAAATAAACGAAATCACAAGGTTAACGGAAATAAGACATCCCATGTCGTCTAATGAACAGCTCTAGACGTGTATAATAAACTTCGATAATATTCAATATGAATTTACTATTAAAAGTCAAGGTTAAGATTTATTTCTAATTTCGACAAATGTTTCTCATTGTATTGTGAATATACATACAAAGCGACATTCTTTCACGTAGATATTTAATCCTAATAAGAAAGAGAGAAAAAGACAGAGAGACAAGAGCTCGACTTGTCGACATATAAACGCTGTCTATAACCGCGATTAAATCGGCATTTTATATTCTATTAGTCTCTATCCGATTTTTTTCAATCAATACGAAGGAATCTTTACGCAAATATGCGTAGTAGTTTAATAATCCTGTTATGTCTAGTTATTGTTATGGTCAATGCAGCAAGTACAACGACCACTCGTCGTCGTCGTGTAGCAAACGCCACACGACCCAGTACAACTAAGGCATCGGTACCAAAATCGGTCTACGCTTATTTACGTTCCGTACGTGGGAAAAATTCTTGTGCTCAAGGATCATGTCCGTTTTGGGAACGACATGGACGCTCATTCGCCGCACTTCGATGTTATGCACAACAATATCGCGAGTGTACATGTCTTCATCGCATGTGTTTTAGTTCGTGTATGTTTACGCGTCAAGTTTGTAATCAAGAAATGGTTGCATGTTTACGACAAATTTGTCCACGGTGCATGCCAGCATCAGCATCGGCTATGTGTGCTGTCTATGATTCAATGGCTGAACGAGTAGCTGAAGCACTTTCAGTCTTTGCTTGTTATCCATGCTGTCCAATAATTAACTCAGGAACAAACAACAATACAAGTAATTTTATATTTAGTTCACGTTTTCCTAAACAGTCTGTTTTTCTCTATTGAAGATATAAATTCTATCATAATTACAACGAATAGTGAGTGCTGGTTATTTTTTTTTTTTTTCGAGTATTCAGAATTCAGAGAAGATTTTTATTTTCTTGATGAATAATAGCAGTACCTGCAGCTTCAACAGCATTGCCGTTCAATGGATTCAATGGTTAGTAAATAAAAATTAGTTTTTCTTTAGAAATTCACTTTTACATTTTTGATTTTATTTTTCAGGTATGTAACATGATTAATTTGTGATATAAGTGTACATATCAAATATTCATTTCTAATATGGAATAGGTCAAATGGTGACCGACCCATCTGGTTTAAATAATTTTGATGACGGTTAGCTAAATTGCATTATTTTGTTGAGAAAAACTATATTTTTATTTCAAAAAGGTGAAAATTTTGGCAATGAAGATCCATCTGGTACAGGTGAAGGTGGTGACAGTTTTATATTCACTTTTTTCCTTTTAAAATTTAGATAAATTCTCTACTTTCAGAGATTAATTCAGGCATGAATTCAAATATTAGTAAGTATATTTTAACATTTGCTTAAATAAGTCTTTGTTTAATTTTCTTCTAGACTATTTCCCAGGGAACAACGGAAATAACGGAGGTAAATATTCGAAGTCATTTTTCATCATAAAGATAGAATAATTTTTTGTGATATTTGAACATAAAATGAAATTTACATAAATTGAAATTTTTAGTCTCGAATACTGGAAATGCTGCGTCAAATGGAAACTTTAATAACTTTCCTGGTAACAATGGTGGTTCGAATGGAAACTCAAACGGTTTCCCTGCTAATAATGGCGGTTCAAATGGAAATTTCAATAACTTTCCTGGTAACAACGGTGGCTTGAATGGAAACTTTAACAACTTCCCAGTTAATAATGGTGGTTCAAATGGAAATTTCAATAACTTCCCAGGTAACAATGGTGGTTCGAATGGAAATTCAAACGGTTTCCCTGCTAATAATGGCGGTTCAAATGGAAACTTAAATGGCTTCCCAGCTAACAATGGTGGATTGAATGGAAACTTTAAAAAATTCCCAGCTAAAAATGGAGGTTCAAATGGAAAATTCAAAAAATTACCAAGTAACAATGGAGTATAGAATGGAAATTTTAAAACTTTCCCATATAAAAATGNAATGGCGGCTTGAATGGAAATTTTAACAGTTTCCCTGTTAATAATGGCGGTTCAAATGGAAACTTAAATGGCTTCCCAGCTAACAATGGTGGTTTGAATGGAAACTTTAACGGCTTCCCAGCTAACAATGGTGCTTCAAATGGAAACTTGAATACTTTACCAAGTAACAACGGTGGCTCGAATGGAAACTTTAACGGTTTCCCATCTAACAATGATGTTTCAAATGGAAATTTGAATACCTTCCCATCTAACAATGGTGTTTCCAATGGAAATTTAAATTCTCTACCCAGTAACAATGGTGCTTCGAATGGAAACTTGAATTCTTTACCAAGTAACAACGGTGGCTCGAATGGAAACTTTAACGGTTTCCCATCGAACAATGATGTTTCAAATGGAAATTTGAATACCTTCCCATCTAACAATGGTGCTTCTAACGGAAACTTGAATTCTCTACCTAGCAACAATGGTGCTTCGAATGGAAACTTGAATTCTTTACTAACTAACAATGGTGCTGCTAATGGAATAGTTAACAGCAATTCAAACAGCAATGGTAACAGCAACTCAAATGCCAATAGTAATGCTGCTTCGACTGGAAATGGAAACCATGCTACAAACTGCATTGGTAATGCAGTTGTCGGAATCTGTATGAATTGAATTTCTTTGAACAATAATTCAATCGATTTTTATAGGCGACACAATTAGCAGTTACCCTGGTGCTGTGTTTCCAGGTACTGATCTCTTCTTCAACAACAACCTTCCTAGCCGTAATCAACAAACTGTTAAACAACGAGTGCGACAAACTCTACGTACAACAAAACGCCAGCCAACAGCTACTCGTCGAACACCAGCTACTGAACGTCCAAGCAATCAAGCAAATGCTACTGTTCGAGCTAATAAAGTCAATAGTGGCGTTCGTAAACCGGTGCAAACTCAAAAGAAACCTCAAACAAATAATCTTATCAAAAGTTAACTTTGAATTTTACATGCATTCACATGTCTTTATTTTTATTCTTTTTTTTTCTTGAATAAAAGAATTTTTATCAAATTAATTATAAGTAGTTTTACAATTCGTTCGTTTTCTACAGGAATCAGTTCTTTTTTTTTCGTTATACCAATACACAGGTTCATGCACAAACACTCTTCTAATACAGACGCATTGAAGCGTTAAGGCAGTAATGTATATACACATGATTTCACACGTCATCCTCCTTTCTGATGTATCTCTTTCGGATTTTTTTCATTTTTCTAACCTTGCATTTGTTTATTTCGTATCAGTGTAGGATACGTAGCTGCCGATGCATTGACTAAGCATACTTGCTCATGTATAGGCATGTTGTTTCACTGTTCGTGATATATGAAAACGTCGAAGTCATGGTTGTATTTATGAGTGTACCATTTGGCAGTCGGCAAATATCATCATCGTCATTGTGGTGCTTGCTGGCGTGTGACGCGTCCTCTTCTCTCCTATTTTAGGCATTGTATGCGACGCTGTCTATTTTTCTTCTCCTCTCTCTGTAGTACCTTTTTTACGAGTTGCCCATACACGATACATAGATGCACGCCAGAGCATAAGCTTACATTCAATCGGGCAGCAAAGAGAGAAACGGAGACCGCAAAGGAGGTGTAGAGGACGATAGAGAGAAGAAAAGATGGCAAAAAATTAACACATCCTCATCGAAGCACATCAAGGTAGAAGAGGCGTTCTTTTGTATTTCTCTTTTTTTCTTCTATTCTCTTTCTTTTTTGCATCTTGAGTCCAGTTGTTGTTTGTTATTGACGATCAGTATAATCATTGAGGTCTTCTTTCTTTTTTTGAATATTGTTTATGTAAAATTTTCAGCTGTTTTCTAGAAAAATAATTTAAACCGCCTGCTGAACTACCGCCATGTTGCAACCTTCAGACAAATTTACAGGATCACGAGCAGGTGAGACAAATTGATTTAATCTGTGTTTCTAGATCTTCTTAAAATTATATTTATTTTCTTCTCCATAGCTTATGTGCCTAGTGCCAGAAGTGCACGTGGTGTTTACCGAGCATCTTATGCTCGACCATCTTATGCTCGACCATCACGGCCTGGTTATGGTTATCGACCAAGATTACCACCACCAGTAGTACCAGCTGGACGAGCACCAGGAGGTGCTGGTCTTCTTGCTGCTATTCTTGGACCTATTGGTGGTCTTACCGGATGTTTATGCTGTTTGAATACAATCGGTATTTGGGGTCTTTTCATCACAGCTATTCCATTGACTGTCTTTATCAGTAAGTGACTTTGTTCTTGTTAACTTCTATTCGTTTGTCATCTATTTGTACTTGCTATTTTCAAGGCAAATGGTTAAGTGCTTTTAAAAGTCGAAATAACTTAAACGGTGCCGGCGAACTTCTTGCTCCTCAATTTCTTCTTCTAGTATTGCTCGTATGTTCGTTCTTATTCACGTTCATGCGTCGCTCATAAATAAACAAACAAACAAAATAAATAAACCAACGGCCAATTTGGTCACTTTTATATTTATGATGTTATCTACATCATTATATTCACTCTCTCACACACAAACACACAAACACACACATACACATATATAAGCACACAATAAATGGTTTTATTTTTTTTGTTCATAAACATTTTTCTCTTCTTTCGCAACACAACGAATTTTTCTTATTTTTTTTCATTTGATATTTTGTAATCTGCGCGCGCTTGAACTTCTCTTTTGAGGCAGCAAAAAACATGATGACGACGATAACAATGACGACGACGACGGCGACAAAACACCATCTTTATAATATCAAAAATTCATGTCTTTCGATAGCAAGCGTGGCGATGTTCAGTGTTTCTTTTCTTTTTATTTATCTATTTTTTTGTTTCTTTTTTTATTCTCAAATCACCAGAAATATTCAAATAAAACTCAGACGTCATTTATTGTGTGAAACAAATATAAACGTCATAGAATCTGAATCATCATTAATCATTAACTCATCATCGCAATCAACAAAATGACCTTGAATTAGCACACGGGGAGAAGAAAAAAGAAAAGTAACTTCTCTCTTTAAACGAGATTAAAAAATTCAAATGTATTTAAGTGAAAATCTGCTGTCGATTTCATATGTGCTTTTAGTTTAATTTTTTTTTCTGTATTCTTCCTTTCTTTTTGGCATCATCAATGTTATTCATATCGTTTTGTCATGCATGGTTTCCGCACAATATTCCTATATTTCTTTAGGTTTGTATCAATTTGTCTGTCAGTAGAGTTTCTTTTTTCTTTTTTTTCTCTGTCACTTTTTTTGGGGTTGTTAGTTATCTATGTTCATGGTTGATTGCGCACACTAACGAAAAAAAAAAAGTTTCATACCGACTTTTTTTTCGTCGCTTCGAAAGCATTCATTAAGGTAGAGCTCCCCATGTAATATCACCTTCAGTCGAATGATATGCCTGACATAAGAAAAAAATCAAGAGAGCGACGGAGGGAGAGAGAGAGAGATAGTGCGCGAGAAAAACCTGTATTGCCCACGTCTAGATGAATATATTCAGAGAGTGAGAGAGAAAGTATGAAGGTTTTTCTTCTTCGTTAAGGTAGGGAGATAGCATGAAAACAAGCTTATTTACTTTTTTTGTACGCAGTCTCTCTTTTTTCTCCTCTCTCTTCCCCTTTTTCATCGATCTTCGTTTACGCGTTACCGAGAGAGCTAGAAATGCAAAAACAGGGAGAAGAAGAAGATAAGCAAATCTGATCTTTTCAAACGAATAATATTGTTGAAATAATTATTGTTTGTAAATATGTTTTCTTTTCTTACTTTATTTGTAGACAAACGGGTGTGCGTAAGCTAAACACTCAATAATGGTCAATCCTCTAGCCGCTGCGCTCGGTCCAGTAGGTGGTCTTGCAGCATGTGCCTGCTGTTTACTTCTTGCTGCTATTTGGGGTCTTTTCGCTACGACGATTGCCCTGGCCGCTATTACAAGTAACTATTGTTTATGCTTTCATTTGTAAATTATATTTCTTGTGATTTTGTTTTTTAGAACAATGGGTAGATGCAGTAAAACAAGCTAACAGTGTGAGTGGTGCTGCAGAAATGATTTACAGTCATTATCTTCTCGTTGGAATTTTATGCTTATATGGCTATTTTGGACTTCGGCGAGCACTTCGCTCTGCTAACTAAACCATTTACTATATATAATTTTGAAAAGCGAATACAAATGATATCGATCAATAACACCAACACCTTTGTTTTTAAAGAAGAAGACCATCATAAAACACTACGATTATAAACAATAAATATGCTTAAAATATGATGATGATGATGATGACGACGTGCTTCATTTTTCTTTTGAATTTTTTTTCTTCGCATGTTTTTTTCTTTCTACATTTCATTCAAAGCCCGTTGTGTAAAAACAATATCAATATATTTAATTATAACATCAACATATTTTTTCCTTTTTAATACAAAAAAAAAACAAACAAAAAAAACGTTTTTCTATTCATGAAGATCGCATCGATGGACACATTCTTTCATAAATAGAACGGTTTTTCTCATCATAAACCACAAGTCTATAAATGCAGTGCATAGAATAGTAAAATAATATCCTACAAAAAAAACAAACGAATGATGAACATTTGAAAAGCATACAATTAATGTCACCATTAGAAATAAATGTTTACTATTTATTTTTCGATGTGCTCTGATTGCATACAGTTGAAAACCACAATAATAGTAGGGTCATTCGTGTAGGTGTAAACTGCATTCTCTCAATGTAATCTCAATATTGCACAGATAAAAAATATATTTGTGGAATAAGTTACCCGAAAAAACAAATTCCGCGAAAACGAACAGTACGCAATCAAGGTTTTTTAGGAAAATATTCATTCAAAAAACGAAATATAGATAATAAAGAGCTATTGAAACAGTTCATTTTCATTCGTGATTGTTAACTTTAGAGAGAAATTGAGTTTTTGTTTTATCGAAATTTTATTAATAAATTTTCGCTTTAAGCTACGCTCGTTATCCTATATACTTCATCTTCAAAGCCATCGGCATCTAGTATAAGTTCTTTTTCGCTAATCTTTTAAATATTTTCCTTTTGTTACAGTGTATAAAAGTAGCTGTGATTATTTTCAAATGTTTGTCAACAATCATATTATCACAATAACAAGTTTTGTGTTAAAAGACAAAACACGGGATGCTTTAACTGGTTATTCGACATGACGTTTCTGCTTTTTTTTTTCTTCAATATTTTAGATCAAAAGTTATTCATTCAAACAAGCCAATTTTGAGTCTTTCGATAGATTAAGTAAATATAGATTGGAGAACGAATTGAAAAGAGGCGAGCATATTGAGAGTCATTTTGAATATTTGTCATCAAAAGGATGATCGCGTGCGTTCACTTTTATTTGTTAATTACAGCCTCTGCTTTCTAATGTATTTGTACATTATGACGTGGTGATTTTTCTTCTTTTCACGATGTTTTTTGAAGGTTATTGCTTGGGGCAGACACGCATTCGATTCAACAAGAAGTATACATCTGTATCGATGACCACACCCTTTATGCTTAATGCTACTCGTCACCTCACTGCCATTCATTTACTCCGAATCATAAAGCTATCTTTCATACCTATATATATAAACTCATCACTTGTAAAAGTCATTAGATGAGACGAATTAAGTGTATGTGTGTATATATATATATATGAGTGGATTAATAGATACAAGTAGCCATATCTAGATCGTTTTACATGGCCAGCATGATAATCGCGTGCGAACTGACAAGTAGCTAAGATAGATGAAGTTCATTTTAGATATAGAATTTTCATATGTCAAGAAGTTTTTTTTCTATAGCAGTAAAAGTATTTTGTTTTTTATTGAAATCATTAACTAGATTAAGAGGAGAAGAAGAAGAAGAAGAAGAGAAAAAAGTAATCGATGCCGAATAGATTCTGTACAATGAAAACAGAATTGGTGTGAAAAACATGCGTGTTAATATCAATCTCTAAGGAATGGTATACATGTGTAGCCAAAATCGATTACTAATAGTGATGATCAATGAGAGGAAAAAATGTCGTATTGTTTCTATGAACTTGTCATTGGGGAACAACGAAGAATGATCGAACTAATTACCAGACTGCTCATTCGTCTGGCTAACGTATTTGTCAAGTCATACTTCAACCGGACAATATCCCTTTACACTCAGGTGTTCAATCTCTCGTGAATGATCATCAGTTTTTTCTCCCTCTCTCTCTCTCTCTCTGGCTCGCTTCTCTTCAATTGATTGGTTGATTAAAAGAATATTGGTACGACCAGAACAAGCGAGAGAACGAATGAGTCTATATAATTTTCAAGATCAAATGTTTAAAAAAAGAAAGAACGAGAGAAGAGAGCAGATGAACAAATTTTTGGCGCTTGATTGAGTTGTTCATTCAGTCGGCGTCCTGTACGCATTTTCAAGTCTCTCGAATTATCCATTATCTCGATAATACAGGCGGGCCTTTTCTTTGGTACCGATACTTGACAACATTTATACACATTGTCGGAACAACCTTCATCATTCGATGCTGCAAGCAAACTTATATGTATACACCTTGTATAAAAACAACAATTATTGAACATAGGTGAACGTGCTGTTGTTTTACAACGCAAATTTTTAGTTTTTATGAACCAGATAATCTTTTGATTTATTTTATCCGTACGTTTTCTGTCATTTTTTCTTCTCTCTCGTCGATTGTGCACACCGTCTGCTTGCATATCCCATATAAATCACGTTCTATGACATTAAATTAACAGGCATCATATGGCTCTATTTGCCTTTGCTTGTTTAAAGAATCAGGTTTCCCTGTGTCCTACACCGTTCAAATCATTGATAAATAAACATATGTTTTCTCTTATTATTATTTTACTATTTTAATCGAATTGAATTATAAATATTATTCTTTCTGTTTTTGAGTATAAGACTTCTTCTCCATTCAAGTTTTAATGATATGAAATCTATATTTCTTTTTTGATGAGATTTTTTTTTCTTCTTCTGATTCCGTTGAACAATATCTAAATTGACATTATTCTTCTATCGCTGATTAAAGTGCTCTTTGAACTACTTGAATAGTTTGTATGTCACTTAAAAATTTCTTAAGTTGAATATGCATTCGTTTTTTTTCCTTCGTCTTCTATTGATATATAATTGTTTTAATCCGTATATTGTATATGAGAATGTCTAAACAAATCAATGAACGAACGTACATACTCGGAAATCGATTGATGGAATAAAAAGCTCTTTTAATCGATCGATAGTGTTGATAGATGATTGTCTCAAGGTTTTGACTTCGTCTATAGTTAATAGCTTGCTATTTTTTTCTTCGTCTCCTCCTTCGCTCTTTATCTTGTTGAAAGATAAGGTTTACATGGTAGATGATGAACATATTTTATGTTGATAGGCAGCGTTTGTTGGTAAGTTAGCATGAATGAGAAAAACAAAAAAATAAGAACTCCACACCACAGGAGTATACTCCATTTGCATATGAACAGCGCGTGTGACAATAGCAATAAGACGGGCCACACACACTTACTCAATTTGAGCGAAGAAGGAGAGAAGAAAAGCTGTTAAAATCCGAAACGAAAATATGAATAAATATTCATGTGTGAAGAAGAGACATAGACAGGATAAGACGATAAAGTGACAAGAGTTGACAAACACGTGTCTCACTATTGAAATGTTAGAGTTTTTTTTCTTATAGAAAAAAATGAGATCCTATTATAGAGGCACACAGATAATTATGTATGATTCCAAATTATCATTTAATATACTAGCATTAGTTAATTTAAGTTGTTCTCAAAGAAACTCAACACCTATTTCAATCGTAAGAAAAATAGAATAAGTTGAAGTGTGACCTTTCATTAACTAATTTTTATTTCTAAATATAATGAAGCTCAGAGGTAAGTGATGTCTTTCATGACAAGGCCAGTTAAATTTCATTGATTCAGCAAATATGTTTTTACGCTTAAAATGTTCCTCCAAGAGAATTCCAATGTTTTGCCAGACATGACTGATGATAAACTACTCTTGTGAACATCTATCCACGATTTATTTGGAGTTCTCTTATAGTCAACTAAGAGGCGTACGACATATTTGTACTACCAAGCGTATGAAAGACTTCAGTGGCCTCGCACAAAACAAAACAAAAAAGACTTCTCCACTTCCTTCTTGTCATAACGATATTTCAGACATTTTTTTTTCTTTTTCAGATAGAAAAATGTTTATTATTTTATGCATTATTTCCTTCTCGTTGTCTTCTTATCATTGTCAAACAATAAAACATCTCAATGAAATATCAATCGAAGAAGAATTACCCATTGATTCAATGGTAACATCTTTAACAGATAAAATTCCTAATTTAGATCAATCAAATGAATATGATCTTGTTACACCATTGTCTACTGATCTCGACTTATTCTCTGTCAATCATAGTCAACATACTCTGATAATAAAAAATCGTATTGATTATGAAACTATTTGTTTAAAAACGCATCATTGTGTCGTGTCAGTTAGTATTGCCGTATCCAATGAAGATACAATTGATGTTTATATACTTCCTATTCGCATCATAAATAAAAATGATAATCTAATAAGATTTCTTGTAAATCGTACAATTATAGAAATCGAAGAAAATGATGAAAATTGGCTTCAAAAAACTTATTCTTTACCTAAAGCATACGATGATGATGGTGACTCAATAACCTATTCAATTTATTTACAAAATTGGAATAAACCCGATGGTTTATTTGAATTCGATGAAAAACATTTATCATTAAAACCATTAAGAAAATTTGATCGAGAAGAACAAAATATTTATTTACTTCGCTTTATAGCTCATAATCAAAATGATGCGTCAACTGATGTAATCATTGTTATAAAAGATCTTAATGATAATATACCAATGTGTCATCACAATCAAACATTATTTCTCGTATCAAATATATCGTCGATATCAAAATTTCAATTAAACGCAACCGATTATGATGAAGGTGACAATGGAAAATTGGAATACAGCTTAATGAATTCATTAGTTGGCTTTAGTATCGATCGATTTAATGGAGAAATAAAATTTGATTATACAAAATGGATCCGTTCGAATAAATCGATACTAATTATTAATATAACCGATCACGGAAAGCCCTTTCGTTTATCAACAAAATGTTCTATTGAAATACAATTGACATTTTTATATGATATTGAATTTAAATCAAATATTTCAAGTATTAATCAAACGGAAGTTACGATCGACGTGGAAAGTGTCGATTTAGCGCTCGGCCAATTTGTAATCTATGATAAACAATACAATAGCTCGTGTCATGATTGTTTAATTCATGTAAATACATCAGTAAATGATATTTTTTCTTTCAATTATTTAACCTATGAATTATATTTAAATTTAAATTCAGTCGTATTAATGAAAATTTTAACAAATTATTTTCATAATAACGAAAATGTTTCATTGAATATACAAATCGATATCATAAATTTAAAATATCCTTCGGTTCAATCAACAAAAATGTACCTATTTATTCTAAATTTTAACAAATTAAATTTACTAATGTATTCAAATACATATTTTCTAAAAATTCATGATAATACTTTATTGAACGAACGAATCTCAATTTTCAATCGTCATCATCGTTGTTTAAATAATCAATCGAATGAATTAATATTAAACGATCCAACAGACACGTTTGATATTGGAAAAAATTTTAATCTAATTTTAAAAAAACATTTAAATGCGCAACAACAGAGATCTTATGATTTAACACTGCAACAAAAACAAAAAAATTCAACAGATGAAGTAAGTTTTGTCTGGTTATTGTAGCTACACAATGGAGTAATATGAAGGCTTCAGATATCTAATAGTGTAGGCTTTATGAGACTCTACTAAATATCATGATCAGACAGGGCCGCATCGACTTCGAGTTCAGAAATCTTGAACCCGACGGACTCTATAAGCTAGCCTGTGGGCGGGTGATTGGTATGAAACAGCTGTTAAATTCAATTTTGATAAAAAAAAGGCCAGAAAATGCCTGGTATTAAAGAGAAAAATTTTCTAATCTTATGACCATGCGATTTTAATCGTCTGCTTCATTCCTTGAAATATACATCTATCACAAAATTTAAATTACGCTGAATCGAAAAAAATCAATTTGTGAGGATGCTCGATGTTTGTTATGTACTATTCGAATTTTCCATTGTCAATCTTAATAGCTAGTGATTTTTTTCTTGGATAGGCTATCTCAGGGGAACCCACGCTTCTCTATATCGATCCTATAATATCTCTTCTAATGAAATTCTCAATGCAGTTCAATGAACAATATAGTTAAGGCTATCCCTATGGAATACAATTCAGTTCGCGTTACTAATTACAACGAGATCGTTTAATTCTATCGATTGCGAGACCTCTCTGTTTTATCATCTAGAGACGTGCTAAGTACTGAATTATATATATATATATATACTTTGTTTAGATGTATACCTGTTCCATTCAAATTCGATTGTACATCCTTAATCCATATTCATCTGTCAGTGTTTTTCCATATTTTTCTCAATCATTTTACATCTTATCAAGTAAAAATCTTTCCGAATTTTCTCTACCACCGATTTCATCTTATGCTAAATATGCTTCATCCGTGCCTGATTTAATATCTATCGATCCGTACAATGCTTCGATAATAGTTCGATCATCTTTATTATATTCATCTTATTCATATGATTTTCGCATTGAAGCAATCGATTCTCGATCTCCATCATTAAGTTGTTCGATACCGATTCGAGTATTTTTCGGTGTGAATAAATTTCCACCTCAATTGTTAATGAATTCAACAAGACAATTTATCGAAATTTTATCATCGAAATTTCTCTATCAAATTAAAGCCTACGATCCGGATTTGTTATTAAGTGATCAAACAAATTCATTTCCACCAACAGTCGAATACGAAATCGATTCACCGATGAATATTGAAATCGAACGTTATACGGGCCGAATATTTCTCAAAGATTTCAATACAACAAATATTAGTTTTACAGTATTGATGAAGGATTTCGGTCAACCAAATCGTTTCATCACTCGGCAAACATTAATATTCGATATCAAGTCCAATGAAAATATTTCCCTGACAATTTTTTTCATTACTGCATCTTCAATTATATTCATTGTTATTGTATTAAGTATTTTAACATTTATCGTTAATTATTGTTGTACCCGTCCGACGAAAACATTGAAAACTCAGAAAAAAAACACTTGGAAAAATACTTCGCCAACAACACCTGATACTTGTTTAATTGATAATGAATATGTAAGAAATATTTTATTGTGAAAACAAAAACCTTCATTATTATGATATTTCAGATGACAACAACAGTTACTTCATTACCTCGTACGTCAAGTCGTGAACAAAGAATTTATCCAACATTTTCCTATGTTCATGTCAATAATGATGGTCAACACGAGAGAAGAATGCTGTCACATTCATCATTAGACAAAATCAATTTTCAATATTCATCAGATAAAATTTCCTATCGACAAGATTTAGAGCAACGTTTATCAATGACTGATATTAATAAATATTTAGAACGTTTTGAAAAACTCTATAACGATTCATCCTCACAACAATATTTGCATCAGCCGATGGGATCTGTTGTATAAACATTCATTTATTTTTCCTTTCGTGATTTTTTAGTTAATAAAAAAATATTTGAGAGAATACATGTAGGTGTACAATTCGATGATTTTATAATACATTATTTCTGCAAATAAAAGAAAAAAAAATATTATAATAGTTAGTTTTCTTAATCAAAAAAGGCGAGTTCGAAGATGAGAAGGATCCGTCAAGAGATGGCTGAGTTATCGAAAAAATTGTCAGTATTGATCAGACCATCCCTGAGGCGGAGGGGGGTACAGGGATTTTTTCAAGAAAAACTTTTTCTTAGAATTATTCACAACATATATAAATCGACTCAGTTTTTGCCGTACACATGACAATCGAATGGGAATCCGATGTTTCCTCATTAACTTAAATTATTTTGTTAACTTGAAAGAAACTCTATTTAAGTGCAACTTATTACAATAATATGAAATATAATTTTCGATCACTTTCAGTTCTCAAGAGGTACTACGCGTTATTTGATACCACCAACTGGCTCCATTATTAAATAAAATTGCAAAAGCTCAATAAATAGCAATCATTGGTCGTTCTCAGAAATGTATAACCTTTTTCTTTCTGATGATTTACCTTCTTTTTTCCGCGTTTTCGTTTTTTCTTCATCTTCGCACTGAGTTTTAATATGTCAGCAAAAACAAATTGATCAATTTTTTCACTGACATTTATCTTAATCTTTTTCGATTTTCCTATAACAGAAGAGAAGTCATAGTTCGTTCGAAAAATTCAAATGGCACCCATTAATATTTACTTTCTTTTCGACATTTTAATGCATCTAATATAATTCCTCCGCAAACATGTCCAATAACATTCTCATCGAGATCAAGTTCTTCCAATTCTTCAGAGATTTCAATTAATCTACAAAAAAAAATTATATTCGCTTAAACAAAGAAGAACAAATTTTAAAACCAACAAACCGAGCAAAAGCATCGACTGTTTTTTGAACAACAGCAAAACCATCAGGTTGTAAACAGTCAATTTCATTGTCAAACAAATGAATTTTCGTTACAAATGGACCACACGGTGGCATGTCATCAAGCGATAATTTCTTCTTCTTTTTCTTTTCTACATGAAATTTTATAAAAATTCTTAAGTTTCAAATCTGAAAATTTTTACTTCGTTTTTTCCTTTCTTTTTTTTCAGCGTCTGTTAATTCCGCTGGTAAACCTTGTTGTACTCGAAGTGCAGCTAAACATAATAGAACAACAAATAAGACTAACATTTAGCGTTCAAAACTAAACCTTCTTGTATTTTTGATTCCATATCAGCTCGTAATTTTTCTTCTTTGTCAATATTATATTTTTCACAATCGATTAATAATAATTTTATTAAATCGTAAGCACCTTCGCATCCAAAATGATTACCATCAAGATATATTTCACTAAATAAAATCCTTCACATGGAGAGAAAAAAAGTAAGGAATTCATTTTTATTCATACGCTAAAGCAGTTTGTACTAGAAGTCGACCTAGTGGAGCTCCACAGACAGGACCAAGGTCACAATATGTTAGAGAAAGTCGCGTGATACATTGATTACCAACCAAATTATTGCATAACAATAAACATCCTTCATCACCGAATCTAAACATAGATGTTTCGTAGTAAACCTGTCTAGTATAGAATTGATCAGACATGGACATGTCACGAAATTAATACTTGTAGCACATGTTTCCAGCAACATGGCATTCATCTAATGTTCTACTAGACTTACTTCTCAGATAGACGACTTAGTCATATTTATATATATATATATATATATAGTGTCGTGCTAGGATGAAACTTTAACCCATGAAAAAAAAACTCATCTAGCTGAGAAACAATGATTATAGGTTGCCATTGGGATGTAACAAGGAGATTGAAACTTCAAATAAGGATTGTTTTATAACTTCTACATTTCTAATACAAAATAAATTTCAAACACCGACTTACTCATTGAAATCAAGATTTACTATGCGAAGTGTCCGACATATATTAAATGATCTGAAGGAAAAAAATAATAAATACTATTGAAACAATCAAAACGCATACGCTGAAAGTCTGTATAGTGGATCTGGTTGAAGAAGACAATCATAAAGTGAAACAGTTTGAAGAACAGTTGTTTCCAGTTTTATATAGTTGCCCTGATAATTGTATCGCAGGAGTAACTTATTTTTATCCAAAAAAAAATATTTCTTACAAGTTCAATGCAATCGAGTAAATCCATACAAATATTCCATACTGAGAATTCTTTTAGTGCACTCAGTCGACAAGTTAATAATGCACGTAGAAATGGTCGAACATAAGTTTGTATCTATTCGATAGAAATTCAAATACTCTTTTCCTATTCAGAATAATTTCAAATTACGAACAATTGGAGGTGGTTCTGTTGTCAATCCAATTTGATCTGCTCCTTCGGCGGGTTTCACTATTTTCGTCGGATTCGGTCGAAGAAATACCTGAAATATATATATATATATATGAATAAATATGCTGTCAAGTTCAATTAAATTGAACATTTCACTTTGGATAAACTATCGCCTTCTTCAAATAATGCTCGTATTGTTTTCGTTACTTCAACACTCGGAATACTGCTCTGTTCAGTGCAGTATTGTTCATATAATCTTAAGAGGCGCTTCAATAATTGCACATTTAATTCAATTAATGCAGCATCTTTTTTCTTTGATTTTTTCTTTCCTTTCGCCATCAAATCACTGGCTATCTGCGAAAAACAAAAAAACAACAACACAAAAGCATAACAATTGAATTTCTCTTGAATCATCCTTCAAAAATACATCGAATGCATGACTTCTAGATCGATATTTTCGATCAAGCCAAAGTTTTTCGCTACTAAAAACATTCGTTTGTACGAAATATAAGCAACAAATCTTTTAAAACGTACTTAACCATTTTTACTTTCTGTATCTATAGTAATACCTCTATCGATTGGATCACTTATGCACTCTGAACAAGAAATAAAAACTGAAATTCGCTTTATATAATAATTATGAAAATTCTGATGATTTTTCTTAGTTTCCTTTTTTATATGAATGAAATTTAATGACTTTCGTTTTTGGTACACTTCATTGACCGTATCATTTCGCGAGTCAAACCATTACAATACAATAAAGGTTATGAATCAATAAGTAAACAATCCAACACCTGAAGGAATAAACTATGGATTTTTCGCTTGTTGAATTAAAAGAACGAATCAATAACCAAGGAAAAAAACAACGTATATTTTATAGAACATTTCTTTTCATATTTAGATTTACTTGATTACCATTAAAAAGGACAATGGGTTTCGGTGATCTTCAAACACGCGATGCTCTTCTGTTACTCAATACTTTTCTTGCTGATAAATCCTATATTCAAGGGTTTGTCTTATACGTCGTTGCAGTACGTTTTATAAACTTGATTATCCCATAGCTACTATCCAACACAAGGAGACGTTGTAGTATTTGAAGCCGTTAAACAACCTCCATCTGGTGATCTTGAACATGCATTACGCTGGTACACGCATATCGCTTCATTTAGCGATGTTGAGAAACAAAAGTAATTTACATCTAGTTTTTTTTATGGGTTTTTCTAACATTTTTTATATTAGATTTCAAGGTGAAAGTCAATCAATTGAAAACTATGGCCAATATAGTCAAGTCAAACATGAATTGAAGACACCTGCTGTTTCATCTGAAAAGAAACCTGCCGATCCCGATGATGATGTTGATTTATTTGGGGATGAAGATGAAGAAGAAAGTGAACAAACGCGACAACGTTTAGCTGCTTATGCAGAAAAGAAATCTAAAAGTAAAAGGCAATCACACGGAAATTCCTATGTAACATATTTTTTGTTTTATATTTAAGAACCCGCAATTGTCGCGAAGAGTAGCATTGTTCTTGATGTATGAATTTGAAACATGAATTGAGTTGTTCATCGAATTATATTTGTTTTCGATAGATTAAACCATGGGATGATGAAACCAATATGCAAGAAATTGAAAATCATGTTCGTTCAATTGAATTAGATGGTTTACTTTGGGGTGTCTGTAAGTAATCAAATAAAAATAGCACTTAACGTTAATCAATAGAACAAATGAGATCTATTAATTTTTAATAATTCTTTCGGAAACCAAAAACATTTTGTGAAGAAAATGGGATGCCCTAAAGGTTCGAAAGACAGTAAAGTGCATATACATTAGATGCCTAAAAACAACCATTTAAGTCTATCTCTCAATGAATACTATTGATCATAGTATCATACGTTTCTATTAAATGAGCTTCTCTGTAAAACATTTTTGATCAAATCAAGAACAATAGTCTTTGGATTTTACTCGTGCCAATTCATTCTATCTATTACCATTAAATTAAAACTATTTCGCTTGTAAATTTATTCGTTTCATCTATTTTTTTTCTCCATCTAGCTCAACTTGTACCACTTGCATTTACAATTAAAAAATTACAAATTACTTGTGTTGTTGAAGATGACAAAGTAAATTTTCTTTTATTTATCGATTCCTCTTTATGATTGTTTTCTAGGTCGGCACAGATATGATTGAAGAACGTATTATGGAGCTAGCAGATCATGTTCAATCTGTTGATATTTTTTCATTTCGAAAGATTTAATCGTTTTTTTTTTCTATACAGTGTGACATTTTATTATTTTGAAACAAATTAATATCATTTTTTTTCTAATATTTTCTATACAGCGCGACTTTTTATTATCTCAAAAGAAATAACAATCAGTTTTTTCTCCACAGCTGTGATACGTGATTGAGTTTCTTTTTCTTTCCAGATGGCTGCTGCAATTGAAACAAAACTTTATATAACAAATTTTCCAAGTTCAGCTACTCGACAACAGTTGCAACAATTTTTTTCACGTTTTGGCCGTGTACAAGAATGTGCAAGTAAGTTGACAATACTATTTTTTTGATTTTGCAGAAATTTAATACCGAAATGTTTCAGTTATGTGGAATTCATATGCATTTGTTCATTATGCGACGATGGACGAAGGTAAAATTGTAATTTTTGAAAATGAAAAGTAGGAGTTTCGTTGGAATTTTTAGCTCGCCGTGCACTTGATCAATCGAATGGTGCCATGTTTCTTAATCGAAAACTTATTGTTCAATTATCGACATCACGTTTTCGACCGCAACCTAAAGAAGCAGGCACTTCGATAGCACAACCACCGAAACAATTAATGGTTATGACTAATCCATCATCATCGATGAATTATCATAATTTTACCAATGGAAATAATAATGGAGGAGGATCAACGATAAAAAGCCAACAGCAGCAGCAGCAGTCAAACACACTCACACAACAATATCCGAATGGTAAGTCACGTATCTGTTGACTGCAGACAGGCAATATCTACATGAAATGATTGAAATCAATGCGGGCGTGACAAGCGAACTTAATTGAATCTCTTCTTAGCGTCGTAGAATAATGTGAGACGAAATGATATCGATAGTTAGATATGTTTGTTACCTGGCAGATAGGACTAATGAGAAAAACATGCGTATTATGTAAATTTGGTTGAGGCCCCACAGAGCTACTTAGACACATTGCTGATTTCTACGAGAAGCAAACCTTGAGAAGAGTGTCATACTATTTTTTCTGTTTCTGCCCTTAATAGGAACATTAAGTTTGCAGATATGTATAAACGATATAACAGAGGCACTTATTTGTTTGATCATATCAATGCGTTAAGATGAAAAAGAATTTTAAATTTCACAATAGTCTAAATAATCCGTGCTAAAAAAGCTTTTTCGTCACAATTCTATTGTATATAAATATTTAATGTCACCCATTTAATTATATGTCAAGTGAAAATTTTCAAGTAACATTTCCGCTTTATTTCAGAACTCAATTACGATATGTTAACAAGTTACCATACGCAAAATCAATTACCATGTCCATCATCTCTGCAAGATGGACATAATTTCTTTCCTAATACGTATCGTCCTCCATCACCTTTCTATTTATCTCAAGAGCTCAACAATGGCTATTATCCACAATATGCAAATTTACCTGTCGACAGAATGACGCCTTCACCATTATCGCTTCAAGTCAATAAAATTAATAATATGAAACCAAATAAAACAATCAAAACAAGTATTTTAAAAAACGTAAATTATCTATCTAATCTTATCTTGTTTAGATGTTGGTACAAATGGTGAAATTCCGAAATTATATTGTACGAATTTACCGGAGAATTGTAAAGTGAATGATTTGCAACGGTTGTTTTCACCATTTGGTCACGTGGTTGATTGTGTCATTCTATGGGATTATTATGCATTCGTTACATTTAAAACATTTCCTGAAGCAGAACATGCTTTACATACGCTTCATGGTTATACATGGAACGATCGACGTCTTATAGTTGAATGGTCACGTGCATCGGGAAAGCGACAACAACAAACATCGCCATCACCAGCAACACCGAAACTTTGTTCATTTAATTGTGTGTATAATAAAATCTTAGGTGAAAAAACTAATTTCAATTGTCTTATCTTTCTAGCGGAAATTTCAACACCAGATTCACCTCGTACACGCCCGTCAACATTATTATCTCATCAACCTGCGTCTAATGAACAATTTTATGGAAATAACTCACCGAAAGTTCTTTCACCACTTAAATCTCAATCACCACGTCATACGTTCAATCAAAATCTTGCTATGATGTCAATAATTCAGCAGCAGCAGCAACAACAACAACAACAACAACAACAGCAACCAGTTTTTCATCATTCATCAATGCCATATGGGACATTTTCAAATAGAAATAGTTTAGAAACATTAAACAATGAAAATCAGCCGATATTTGATAGGTAAGATTCTGTGTTTTGAAATTTTTACTGCAGACAGCGAAACTTCCAGCATTCAATAGTTACTCATTTTCCTCTGAAATATGAATGAATTTTATGAAGAAGCTCCAATCCAAGTTTTTTTTTCACTCTTTTTGACGTTCTATCGTACCAGCATGCTGAAAATCAAACATCTGATGAGAATAATATTTATTTTTATTATTCTAGTTTAACAAATTCATCATCAACACACCATCTAAATCTATCACCATTTATTGAACGTAATGCACCGAATTCAAATACACTTTTTCCGTCGCCAACTGAAATGGCAACACCATCATCACCTGTTTCACTAACAAATGTTTATCAACCATCGGATATTGTTGCTCTACTTGAACCATCATCATCATCTGACGTATCGGCTAATATAAAACCGAAAGAAAATTCAATTGTTAACGATATAACCAATATTTTATCACCAACAATAACAAATGTTCAATCATCATGTTCATCAAGAGTCGCTGCAACTGCTAATTTATTTCAGGAAAATCTCTTATCATCATTGTTTGGTTCATTTGAACCGTTCAGTAAATTATTTCCGATTGATGATCAACCACCATCAAGCTCAACTTCACGTTATAATCATCTATTACCAGCATCACCATTGCTAACAACAGCACCTGACAATAGTCATTATCCAATCTACTATGGTCATAATACTTCTTGGGATTAGATACAAAAAGATTAAATAAAACGAATTTCTTCTTCTTCTTTTCTTTTTCTTTCACCGGTGTGTATGTTTGCGTATTCATTCATTCTGGGTTTTTCTGTTGTTACATTTCACGCAAAAAAAACTATCTAGACTCTCGCGCTTTGTTTTTCTTTTTTCTAGTCGCACTTTTTCTGTATGTCTTTGTCGGCCATTTTCCTTTCTTTTTTTTTCCCCCGTTGTTGTTGCTGTTGTCTATTCGCGCGATCAATATGTAGTTCATTTTGTTTTTTTTTGATTATTATTTCGACTTATGGGATATCTTAGGAAGAAAAACACGTATTACTTTGCTGTAGTTTAGTTTTGTGTGTTTAAAAAACAAACTTATTCGTTTTTTTTTGTCTCAGGTTCTTCTTTTGTTTAAAAAAAAATTAGGTAGGTACTTACCATGACTTTATCTCGTACTCCGGTCTCGCATTGTAATACATCTATGTATCTGTGTTTTCTTTTTTCGAGCAAGATTAATGTTATCCTTGCGCGATCGATTTTCGTGTTCTTCTTTAGTATTTCAAACAGCACACTCCTATTTGAACAGTCTTCTCATTTATTAACTCTCATTGATTGTGTAGGAAAACCGAGCCTGTTAACTTTTGTTGGTTTTTGTTTTTCTCGTCACATTTCGTATGTGAAATGGATGAGCTCTTGTTGTTGGTTATTTGGTTTTTGTGTGTAGATGTTTTTGCTGCTTTTCCGTTTTTTGCCTTCTCGCTCTCGTTCTTTTTTATTTCTTCGCGCAAACTACTATACAAGCAGGTTAAACACGGTCTCTTGTTTGTTTCTTTGTTATTGTTTTTTTTTCATCATTATTTTTCTATAACTTCTCTCTGTGGATTTCAACCAGGAATTATTGTGTTGAACATGTTGACAATTGTACTCCAGTAAGGAGATAAACATAACGAAACAAAAAAGAAAGGAGAACTTTAAAGCATAAACAAACTTTATTGAATTGATCAACCGTGTCGTTTCTTCTTCTTTTTTGAATAAAACAACAAAACACGAAATTAACGAAATGAAAAAAAAAATATGCATGATTTTTGGCATCATTGAATTAGGGCCAACGAAAACATATTTACCAACGGAATCATCTTATCGGTTGTTTGCTTTTATAATAACTCGTGATCACCTCGAGTGAGACTTCAGTTTTTTTTTTCATTGAGCTCATTCTTTGTGTGTCTGAAGTGTGCTCTTTTCGTACGAGCACGATCATATTTATTTCGGTATTACAATATACATCCAAGAAAGCGAGAAATCAGACAAATCCTTTTCATTGGCTGCAAACATGTAAAAGAAGTTATAAGTCAGTTCGAAGCATTCAGTTAACTATTACGACTTTTGATATCAGACATGATGCATAAGTCTACAATCCGAATTTTGTTGTTGTGATTTTCAAAGTCGATAATCAAGTAACGCACATACAAAAAAAAAGCAATGATAACTCCAATCGATTGAAAGATGATTATTGACTCTTTTTTTTTTGATACAGTTAAAAAAGAACAATACAAGAATATAACTGATAGAAAGAAATCGTTCCTATTGGATCAACAGAGATTATATGATACATGATACGAATACTTACTAGGAATAAAAGAGTACACAAGAGTCTTTAGTTTTCTTTTTTGCAAAATAATCCTTTCAATGATATTGTGATTATGAACGGAGACCTCACGAATGTTCGATTTTTCTTTATGTAACGTGACACATAACTTTTGATTTGGATAAAATTATTATGCTGAAATAAACATTATTATCATTTTCGTTTGCATTGATAGATGATGGTAAAAATATTTTTATTGCACATTTTTTGTTGTGACCAAAAGTGACAAAAATAGTATAGTGGTAAACATTTGTATAGTAGTTTACAAGTTTAAATGGCTGTTACTATTACATCACATTAAACCCACAGGCTAGAATAACAATATGTTTCAATCAACTATAAAAACAGTATCTTCCTGTGAGATAACAATAGAATAAAAACTCATTCTACTACATAATCATTTACAGATCTCACACACATACTGGTGTTAAACGATAAGAACATTTATTCTGGCAGAGTGAAAAGGTTGAATTTGTCATTTTGAACGTACAGCTAGCGCCTTCTATTTTTATTCAATCAATTCTTATTGGACATTGAAAATTTTTTTTCTTAAAAAAAAGAACGGTGCTCATAAAATGAATCATCCTATCATTGAAGTGCACACTTCAGTTTACCTGCTTCGTTTGCATACAGTTCAATTTCTTTGTCTTGAATATTTTATGAAATCAATTTGCTTATTGATACTTTTCTTCTTTACCTGTTTTTCTTTTATCTTGTTAATATTTTGAGAAAAACATAATTCCAATACATGTTTACATACCATTTATCCTCGGTTTAACAACTTGTATGTGCGTTCGTGCAACGATGCTTACAAAAGAATCTCTATGAATACTCGACACTATATTTTTTTGTATTCATCATTAACAGGTTATTACACAACAGACGAACATCTATTCTAACGTTATGTTTGTCAATTAGTTCGAGACGTGATTTTTTTCTTCTTTATCGTCCATTGAAGAAAGGGCTCGGGCTCAACAGAGGGAAATAGAGAGAGAGAGAGAGAGAGAGAAAAAGAGAAAGAATGAAGAAACGTGTTGTAATAGTTAGTCGATCTTTAAAAACAATATAGATAGAAAAAAATTCAAAAGCAAACACTTTTTTTTGTTGTTTTTGCACTATAGAATATATATATGTATATATTCTTTTTTTACTTGATGGAGTAATGATATAGTGGCATTCGACAGGTAAGTTATTGTTGTTGAGCAATACAAGTAAAGAGAATAATCCGTCTGTGCAGTCGATATTTACTGTCTACCTTTTTGCTCTTTATTTACGGATTTATCTTTGGTGAATGTCTTTTCATTTGTCTGATCAAAGAAAGAAGAAAAAAACCAATAGTTTGGCTATCATTTTCTAGATCAGGTATTTTTTACCATTAATGGAATCAATCAATCCGCATGTACCGTCCGTGGCATTATTTGTCACTGTAAGTTTATTGTTTGACTTTTTTTTTCGTTTCAAAAAAACTCTTGTAATTATTTCGTTTTTAAAGCGATCTGAAATTGATTTTTCTCATCGTTCACCGAATCCAATATGTCAACGATGGTTTATGGTTTTATATCTGAAATCTGAAGCTAAAGAACTTGCATTAACAGTAAATAATTATTCTCTATTAAATAAAAAAAATGATCGCTCGTATATTTTCAGGTTTATCCTGTCAATATGAAAAATCCTGAACAAGAATTTAAAAAAGCATACAATTCGAATCCACCTGTTGTTGTATTTCATGAAACAACTGATAAAACATCTCAAGTTGTTCTAACTGATAATCGTGATATTGAAGCTGAAATCAGCAAACGTTTTCCAGTTATGAATATGAATTCTTTAAAAGAAGCTGAAGATGTTTGTTCAAATGTTTACATTAAATTTCATCCATATTTAAAATCATCAACAGGTGATCTACACGAACCAATGAAATTACGGACATTGTTAACCGAATTAAAACGCATTAATGATTATCTTGAAGAAACAGGAACAAAATTTTTATCGGGAAACGAAATGACATTTATCGATTGTGACATTATGCCTAAATTACAACATATACGTGTTGCAGGAAAATATTTTAAAAATTTAGATATACCAAATGAATATCATGCTTTATGGGCATACATGGAACGTTGTTATCAAACAAAAGCATTTCAAGAATCATGTCCGTTTGATCAAGATATATTAATGCATTATGAAGGAAAAGTTGATTCTCATAATAAACCGTTTGGTAAAACACCAACATTACAACAGCCAACAATGACATTAACTATACCAGAATGAATTTAAGACTAAATAAATTTAATATATATATATACATATAGTTAGATAGATATTCAAAATTCGAATGACTTTTGTGTGCAGGTTGTTTCGCATGTTGAATGAACAACTTGTTTTTTGTTTTCTTTGGCTGTGGCACTCGTATGTCAATCTCATATTTTGCTGCTTTGTTAAATCATGTTTCTCTCTCTCTCCCTCTGTGGTGTATTGTCAACTTTTTATTTGTCTAACGAACTCAAAACGATTGATCTTTTTCTCAGACAAATTAAAATAAAGCATTCATTCTGTTTTGTTTTTTATTTTACATGTTGACATTTTAAATAGAGAAGATATAAAAAAGTCAACTCGTTCGACAATATTTATCTAGAGCTGAATTTTAAAACATAAGGAATATTTGTATAATTTAGAAGTCAATCAAATCATGTAGAAACAATGTAGTTTACATCTAATATTGAAGTCTTGTATTTTGAAATTGAATTATGTGAAGATAATTTGACTCTGGCGAAGCAATATAATAGTGTCGCTATGAATATTTTATTTTGACCTTGTATAATTTTTGCATACAAGAATATTCTAGAGGGACTTTCGGTTCCGGAATGAAAATTTTGACTGAAACCAAAATAGATCCGATCGAATTTGTAGATTTATTCTAATTATATACTGTGAAGCACTATTAAAGATCCGAGCTTTGGTTTTTCTTGTTAGACTTTCATAAATAAAATCTTGAAAGTGCATAGTCAATAGAATGGTCTGTTATATTTTTAAATCGAAGATGATACAAGTACCACCAACAACGATGATTCTATGTGAAGTATGTCGGAGGAAGAAATTATCTGTAATGTTGAAGTTTCATTCAAATTGAGCTGTTTCATCTCATTAAATAATGATTTACTTGAATGATTTCACCTATTGTCGAGAACAATTGCAATTTTATTGACCTAACTACTATTTAGCTATGATATAATGAGTATAATTAGTTTCTTTACCCTAGTGATATGCGAGTACCAGCAGTGAATAACACAAACACAAAATTGTTGCATTTTGATTTTGCTTGGTTGATTGAACAACATCTTACTCCCCATGGCATTTCATGGTAAGCTTATTGAGAATAAAAGAAGTTTATCTATGCTTAAAATGAGCGTTTTTTCTATGGTGATTCAAAGAAAAGCTTAAAGTCATAAGTATTTCTATTTAGTTCAAGAATATAAAATAGCGAAGTAGTCACTATAGTTCTATTATAAATATACAAAAAGATAAACTTATCAAGGTGATCCATTGCTTATACCTATTGTTAAATATAAAATCCATTATCACATTGAATGGGTTCTTTTCTGGAAAACAAATACATAGGGGCTCTCAAATAGCGATATAAGTCAACAAATGACTAGTTCAAAACTTGTCTAATGGAAGCCTCGGGTAGTCAAACATGTTACAAGAAGTGTTCTAACGGAGGTAAATAAAGATTAGTTACTCTCGTTGGAGAGTATACTAAAAGTGAGCATAGTTCCATAATGGATGATTACTGTCAATGTCAGTAATGCTCAAAGCAATAGTTTCTTGTCTAGTGAACACATTAGTCAATGTGAAGAATCAATCATACTTGATTGACTACTCTAATGATCTGCATATGCGTAATTATGAAAGATCTTTACGTAAAACGAAGAAGAAGGAAAAACGAGAAGACTTTTTTTTCTTCTATTATTAATAAAATCTTTCTTGCATGACAATAAAATAAGTTTACAAATACAGAAACGCTAATAACAACAAAGATAGTACATATGAAAAAAATGAATATAAAGATGTTGATACAGATGTATGTTTTTTTTGAACAATAGCATTTGTTTTCTCTGTGTCTATAGGTGTTGTTGTTGATTTTAATTTTCTATCTTGACATAAACGATCACACTGAATGTCTGATGTGCAATTCAAATACTTGTCTAAATCATATATAGGCATTGGCAGGTTCAAATGATTTTTCAATTGTTGATAATAAGCTGCTTCGAATAATGTATTATTTGTAACTAAACAAGAGTGTTCCGGTTTAAATAGACGATTTATGTCTTTTTCTTTTTTCATTTTTAATTTAAATATATTCATCAATTGACAATCACATTGAGCTTTTGTTTGACTATCTTGTTTAATATCTAAATTAGGATAATTTAATAATAGACAACCATCCAATGGCGATAATTGATTTGGCTTGCGAACATTTATATCTAAATGTGCTAATTTTTCGATGCCACAAAAAGCATTTGTATCAATATATTGCAATGGATTTCCAATTAATATTAGTCTCCGAAGTTTTGGTACACCTTCAAATGTATATTCATCAATATACTCGATTAGATTCGACGATAAATCGATTTGATCAATCGTACTCGATTGTAAACCATCGATATTTGACAATTGATCGTATGCAAAATCGATATATTTTAAATTTTTCAAGTGTTTCAATGATGATATCAATGACGGCCGATGAAATAATTGTGGTAGATGCATTAAAACAAGATTTTGAAGAAATTTTAAATGTTCAATCGGCAACAATGTTGTTTGATGCGTATTGACTAATTTCAAATAGGTTAAATTGTTGCCAATAGACGTTAAATTATGAAAACGATAATTATCGATAAATATTTCGCTTAATTCTAAACGATTTAGTTGCGGTAGTTGAGTTAATAATATTTCTAAATTTAATTTTGTATCGTGCTTATGTACTTGATGGTAGTGAATCTTTTTTAGCGTTAATCCTTTCAATACTTTAAATGAATCAGAATAAAAAACGTCTTGAAAATTTCCGCTTGATGTTGCCAAAGAATTTATTGTTGAATTTTCAATATAAAGCTTTTCTAAATGATTTATTTTTGAAAATGACTCTTCGTTTAAATTCACTAGATTGCAATGACGCAAACGTAGCGAATTAATATTTAAATCGGCGAACGTTTTATCGCCGATTTGTAGATCTTGTGAGCATGATTCGAATTCGATCGTATGATATTGTATATTAGGTAGAAAATGTGGTACGTAAGAATGACCAACGCATTTTAATGATATGCCTTTTGATGTATTTTCACAGTCGCATTGTTGCTGTATTTCAAATGGATAGTATTGAGCGCATAGGGAATTTGTTATAAATGATGGTTGAGCACGCGTTAATGAAATGATTAGAAATATTAAATAGACAACGTAATACATCGATTTGCAATACATCTGAAATACAAGAGAATAGATACATATATATATATATATAGAGAGAGAGAGAGAGATTTTAGAAAAAAAGAAACGATGAAGGAGTTTGAATAATAGAAGAGAAAATTATGACGGATTGCTGTTTGTAGTGTATACTGATGGCAAACAAATTAATTCATATGCGAATAGATTTTCTTATCGCCAAGTGACCTGGTAAAATTTATGTCAACAAAATGTACAGATTTTAATTAATACGTATGAGAGACTTTTCCGATCTTAATATCGATGTATGACTATTTATATAATAATAGGAATATATGACAAAATTACAATTTATTTTCTAATTACTTCATCTGTTCGACACAGATTCATGTGTAGACCTTAGTACTATGGAGAAAAATAACTTTGAACAAGTGACTAACAGCTGTCTGTGTTAAATCATTCGTCGGACAGCATGCTGATGATGTTGTGATGTACACCTGCTCTCATGGTTCGTTAGCGGGTATAGTGTATTCAAGATCTATGCGCACCAGCTTGGCCTTCTACTCAGAAGCCTATCTGCGAAACGATATCGAGTAATTAAATATGCTGTTAAGTAGCTCGAAGGCAAGAGTTTTGTGGTTGTGTTGACAGTTTCTATTGTATTTTTCAATAAGAAATTATAGAATATAATTTCGGTGGTTTCGGTTACAAGTTATGACAAGTCTAAAACTTATTACCATTTTCAGAACCTAAAATATATGAATATATTATATATTGTATACGAATAATGCAATTTGGTTTATATGTCATGTTGATAGAAAATGTTGGTTTGAGATCTTCAAGATAAGAAAATATAGTGATACGCAAAGATGAATTGTTCATGCTGAGTGGAATCGACTGATCTCTTACTGCATGTGCAGCGCTATCTATCATATCCTGGCCAATAGAGTTGAACTTTAAAAGATAATGTAATCTTCTAATATGTAACTTCGGCAATCGAAATAGATTTCTTTTTTTTCTGGTGTTTCTCTTTGTGAAAAATTACTCAATAAGTAAATGTCTATTCGAACACTATTAATCAATGGTTCTATCTATCAAGAAGATTGAATCTCACATATTTGCCCTTAGCGAAGGATTAGAAGGAACAAAAAAAAAACTTCAGAAGAATTTATGCTCAATGTAACTTCTGTGATAAGTCAAAGAAGACTGCCGAATAATTTTCTTTGTGCCGTAATTAATGTATCAATATTTTTTGACAGGTAAATTGAACACATAAAACGACATCCGATTAGAATATTTTATTCATGAGAAATTTATTATTTTAAGAAAGAAAATATTTGAAATAAATAATGAAAAATTCTTAAATGGCATGTCAAATTATATTATTCATGAACGCCGAAAGACAATAGAAACAGATAATCATTTAATTACGAAATAGAATATAGTGCGTGTCATACAAACAATAGTTTTCAATGTCAATAGAAAAAAAATGTCTACTTACCTTGAATAAAACCAGAACGTTTATGTGCGCGATGCTCAAATTTGTCGGAAATATATCGCTATATATATATATATACATTAAACGGATTTTTATTTCCGTTTTATTCATAACGTAATCGGAGTATGGAACAAAGAAATTTGTACTATTTAAATGAATTGATAAAAAAGAAGCGGATAAAAAAGCTGCTTAAAAAGAAAAGCTTTCCTTTCTCTCTGATCCATTTATAGTTTCAGTCCCATTTGAGACGACATATACTACGGTTGACTGCCAATCTATCCTGTTAATGTTCTCATGCGAAGGCACAAATGCGTAAAATGGAGAGACAGAGAGGAGAGGGAGGAAAAAAAACTAGGGAAAACGTGCGTTCCATCACAAACCGGAACTGTCGATCGATTTTTTTTTGTTTGAAGGAAAAAAGACGGGAGAATAAACACGAATGTATGTGTTCACTTTTCTATGTATGTCAAATGTTATAACTATTGATTCGATCTTCTTTTTTTCCTACGTGCTCTAAGGGCACCATCACCACCACCACTCGAATAGTACCGTGGTGTTGGCTATTCTTCTGTCCTACTCTTACTCTTACTCTTATGGTAATCAGCTCGCGTTGTTGGCCTATTTTTCCTTGCATGTTCTCTTATTCTCTAGCGCTCGTTTTTTTGGTTCTACTATTTACCCTAAATTAAATGAAAGAGAACAGCAAGAAGCGGAAATGCACTAACGTCAATGCGACCTATGGTCAATAGAATATCCATTTCGAATGTTCAGTTCTGTTTACGTGCAGTAAAGGTAATCAGCACGCGCATGCACGACGTTGACAGCAATAGATGTCTTTTTTTCTTCTAACATAACACGCTAGAGTCAGTTAAATAGACAGATGGCTGAATAAACTAAAAAGAGTAAGAGACAAAAAAAAAGGTGAAAGATCGAAGTCATCGAGCACGATCACATGTAGACAGGACATAAAGTCATCATTCATCACATTCGAGATGATGATATGTAGCTATGTAGATGCAAGCATGAGGCACACTTGCTCCTCCTTTTTTCTCTTCTGGCTCATTGAATCGGTACCATACATATATATATATATATATATATATATACGAGACCAAACAACGATCATCATCATCGCAATAATGAAGATTAGAAATCAAATTATCTATGAACGAGAGATGATTCTACTCATCAAGACGACCAAGCAGCCGTACTAATTCCATCAGAAAAGCAATTCATTAAGGCATAAGCACGATCGAAGCTAGCAAACAGCTTACCATGTAGACTGCTACTTTATACAACACATTGAGTTTCAAAAAAAAGACGTGTGAGTATGTGAGGTGGAGTGTCTGTTCAATGTTCATTTCTTCCTCTCTCTCTCTCTTCTTCCTTTATCCACTAATTCTTTCTTCGTTCGTTCACCCTCTCTCTCCCTTATTCTGTCTCACGCACATGCTGCTTGCCACCTAGTCAAGAGTAATGCCATTCATTCATTCATTCATTCATTCATTCATTTTTTTTTCTCTGGATACGAGCTGAACAAGTGTCCCACTCTCATTGTCGTGGTGGTACACATGCACAAATATCTATATATCTCTCTCTCTCTCTCTCTACATACATATATATTGGTGCATATATGTGTGATGATGCAATCGTATAACTAATGGATAAAACGCAGACTACAAGAAACGCAAAAAGAATTTGTTTCTGGCACTGTCTGGTCGCAGAAAAACTTTCTATGAAGAAAAAAAAAAGATAGATATTCACACCAACGATATCATACTATAAATACTTGAACTACATCAGCTTCATTGTCTTGTCTCTTGTTCTCACCATTGAAATTATTATACTCGTGTACACAAAACTGATACGTGTCAGTTGCATAAAAAAAACTATCAAGACATCGGAGGTGGGGGGAAGAGACAGGGTTACACTACTGCTATCTTTTTCATTGTGTATACTCCTAATTCCTTTGTTTGACCAAGACTGTCGAGAGTTTGATGGTGTAATCAAATATGTGCTGTGTCGGTCAGTATAGTCATTTCGGTGCGAACAAATTCACTGTCATTCAATCTAATTGATAATAATATACTTAGTCCATTAAGTAGCGAGCATAATATGTCCTTGTCAATTGAACAGTTAAGAGAACTTGCGCAACGCCTCCTTCTTTTATTCATACACAAATGTTGTTTTTGTCTTTGTGATGATAACACAAAGCTTTCAAGCTTGCTCTTTCTTTCTCTTCTCTCTTACTTGCTGTTCACATAATATATAGCTATGTGTAGATGCATACAGCAAATAGTCATGATGTGATGTGGTCAAGATGTATGTACTCAAAATGTGTCTTGAAAAAAACCTACAAGACAAAAAGTGATTGAAAAGCAACAAATGTAAAAGAACGAACGAACGAACGAAAGAAATGAGAGTGATAAGATAGAGAGGAAAAAACTGGATGAAAGCAAATAACGGAAGGAAGAAAGAAAAGAGCAGAATGCTCAGGCCACTTTCTTCATCAATGTTCATCATTCACCCGACCTTGACCCATCCTCGTTCTTTCCAAACTCGGTTTTTTGTAGAAATTCAATGTACATATTGCTGCCAGTGGATGTGGGTGTGAAAATAACTTCGATCAATCTCATTTGGTTTCTGTCATTTTTTCTTCTCCTTCGTTCTATTATCTGAATACTAATGATGACTATTAATGACATTCAATTTTCTAATTCACACAAAAAGAAAACACAACGAATACCTAAAAATGTCGAACCTGTTCTTTTATTTTCAATTCGATCTTAATGTTTGAACCCAAAAGTAAATTGACGGTATAGGACTACTACGTCCGAGAATATACCCAGCAGGCATGAGTCTGAACGTCGTTGTTTGCATTGAACACCGACTAATAAGGCGTCTATATCAAGTTACATACATGCATACAAACGCGTATTGAATACATGCAGAGCGGTGCTATTTACCTTGAACAAGGTAGTTAGGCCGATTGATGTAGGCGACGATTGAACACTATGAATGCTTGAACTGTAGTCTTAGTCCATCATATGCTAATTGAAAAACGTTAAAGTTGATCGATAATATAATTCTTTTCAATTTGCAGCGCAATTCTTTGGTGACCGAACAGAAGACTGCCAACATGAATCGTCTTCAACATTTCTTGATTTTCACTTTTCTATCTTATATACATACAGCTGGTTCCTTTCTCTCTCTCTCTCTCTCAATGTGAATACTTACATATATATATATATATATAGCTATCTATGTGCACCACCACCACCAATCTGCATCTATGAACACATAAGAAGAAGAAGAAGAAGAAAAACTGGGAGAATAATTTAAATATTAGTTGATTTCATTTTCTCACCAGGAGAAGAATAAGAAAAGAAAAGAGTATGTGATGTCTTTTTCAATAAAATGTATCTGTGTAAGTGGCATATCTCAAAAGATAAAAAAAAAGAAATCTTCAAGGGTAAACTCATCGTCCTTCTACATCATACTCTTCGTCCATGATAGTCGACGACAGTCATAGGTTATGTTGACAGATCCTATGACAACATCTCATGTTATTATTAACCTCAAACTATTTGTGAAACTTGTAAATAGTCGAGACAGCTCTTCAGTTCATCATACAACAGATGTCTTTCAAAATTGCCCAAGGGGCGATGAATAAAAAAAAAAACATAATCTAGATTCTATTTATCATGTGAACAGTTCAAAGTTGATGATTAATCTTTTCACATCGTGGAACCATCTGTCAAACAAAAGTCGAACTATGACAAGAACAAACTTACCCAAATCTTGATAAGAAATACATATAGAAGAAGTATGCTTGCGAAAAGAAAATGTGCAGAAAGTGGATCATGATTATCATGATAAATCAACATCAGCAAAAAGAAAAAAAAACTGTGGTCAAAATCTCGTCTGACTTATTTTACTAATTGTTTATTATCTTAATATCAATGTCGAATAACAATACAATATAAGTAGCAAATAATCTGTTCCGATGAATATAACTAATCTGCTGTTTCCATAGCTAAACGCGCGGTTCAGCCTAAATATTATTTTCTATTACTTATCGTATTACTGTACTTATATAGCCAACAGACAATTAGCTCGGAGTATAAGTGCACAAAAAAAGGAAACCTTTTAAAAGTTGATTATTGTATTGGCAAACAAGAAAAAGTTCACTAGCTAAATGTCATACAGTAGGTCCATTATAATTTACCTGTTCTTTTCTCGGATTGATTCTATGCCAGTTGCTACTACTTACTCGTTACAATTCTTTATGGTAGTGCTTCCAGTTTGTCTTCTGTTTTCTTTTCTTCTGCTTCTTTTGATCGATATGATGGTGTATTGATGAGGCAAAACATTCTTTTTTCTATCTATGCATTCATTCATTCATTTATGTTATAGCCCTATCGAGCTTGAGTTCTACGGGAATGTCGAGAGAATAACAACAACAACAATCTGTTCGAGGAACATGACCATCATTAAAGGCGAAGAAAGAAAAAAGAAAAGATATTGCATCATATTCCATTTGGTATACAGTTCTAGTCAGCGATCGTAGCGATGAGTCGAGTGTAAGATAACAATCATATAAAGAAGAAGAAGAAGAAAAAGCTCGACAGAGGAACAGAAATGAATATTATCAAATGATGGACAAGAAAAGTTCAAGTAACAAAAATAATAAAAATTGCCTAGAGGATTAGATCGATCGTATTTTTAAACAGATAATATTATAGAAAGCTCTTCTTCTGATTATCGGCACCCATTAGTTCATATTTCTTACGTGTCTTGTATCTTTTTCATCTAATCGTGAATTATTCTTTTGAATTTATGCATGTACTATGTGCTGTTTCTGAACGAATGCAAGGCCACTCATGTGGAGATGTGTGAGCTGAGACGATTTATTGTTCTGGTCATGCAATACAAAAAAGAACAAGAGCTTGTTTAATTATAATGAAACAGCATTCGGAATAAGCAAATTCCACTTGAGACCGATCAAGCAATCGACGGCCTGCATATGAAATTAATCAAATTGAACATTTACTATAGGCCAACCTTGAACCGTCTTATTCTGTTTTCTTTCTTTCTTTCTTTCTCTTTTTCTTTTGCCCCCCAGAGATTATTTTAATTTCTTCTAATCATACTATTCCGATGAAATTTTATCCAAGAATGAGTTTGATATTTAACATTATCTTTATCGTCCATCAAATAAATTCATCTTCTTTTTCTTCTGATTATTTTAAGAAATATCATCTTTTTTTCGCTCAAGCGATTTCTCTAAGGAACTATTTTTACGGCAATGCAACATGTTCAATATGACAATCATTTATCATTATTTAACGTTGATTTCGTTAGAACAATCGCCCTCGCCGATTGTTCATCATAAAAACGTCTCCAGATGGTCAACAGTTTCTTTTTTTGTCTTGTTACTTTCAATTGCGTCATCAATCATCGAGAATCAAGAGAAGAAGAAAAAGAGAAAGACAATTATGACATGAACAACTAATGTTCAATATCAAGTACTATAAACGAATATAAATAGATCTTGAGAAATCTCAAAAGAGATTCACAAGGACAAAACATAAAATGATTTTATGATGTTTACTGATCAATTATTCATCGAGATAAATAACCAAGCACGACTATTTGTTTATTGAGAAAATTTTTTTACTTAGAATTAATGAATATCAATAGAATATTGATGATTGTATTCAAGGGAGAAAAACGCTTCACTCGCTCGTTCATTCGTTTTTTCTCTCGAATTGATTAATATCATAAAACAAAAAGGATCATAACAAATCCTACTATAAAAGTACTCTTTCAAATAGGCTTGAAGGCTGTTCTATGGCATATATGCATATTAAAGCTCGAAATTCATCTGTAAACGTCATAAATTCTTAATCGATTCTAACTTGACGATCGTTTTTATATGAGTTTGCAGATGAACATATAATAACAGATAAGAAAAAAAAAGTCCGAGTACTATTTTATGATAAATTTTCGATCATTTGAAAGTCAATTATTATTTGATATGTAGGATTAACATATAATAATAATTCATATTGTTTCTGCGCATTGATGCAATGCAATGTCATTATTTTATATGTGAATAAATGTTGAAATTCGCCTAAAATTATCTTCTGCTTGGATTGACATCAATTGGCCATTGTCGAAAAAACTGTTTGTCAGCGATATGTTTATCTTGATATTGATTTAATCGGCCGTTTTTGAAATGACATGCAAAATCCTTTCCGTACAATTTCAGTAACAGTAAAAAAGATTAGAACGGATGCAAATATATGAGTGACTGCATTGAATTCGGGACAAGAAAAGAAAACAGTAGAGAACAAATCGAGATTCCTATTGTTAAAAGTTTTTTGCAGTAACTATTATGGAATATTTTGGTCTAATTGAATTATCAAGAATCTTGTAAAATAAAAAGGTCAAACAAAGAATCTAGTATATTAATCGAGTAACTCGACGATGAACAGAGCTCACTGCAATTACGCCGGAGACAATCGATTGTTATAAATATACAAAAATGCCAGCAATAACATTGTTAATTATCTTTCATGTCCTATCAAATTCTACTTTATTACGAATCTGACACTGAAGCATTGTTCGAGACAGATCTCGTAACTAAATCAAACTCATCTAGTATTTCACGGCCAAGGATTTATTTGAGTAAACATTTCTTCTCGAAATCGAAAAAAGAATAAAATTTACGATACAAATATTTTATTGACTTCAGTAATATTCGTCCCTGATATCTATCATTTATTACTTGTGTCCATTATTTCTAACATATAATCATCATTTGAACACAAATAATTAGTGCTTGCGATGATACTCAGTCTCAAGTAACTAATGCAATTGCTTAGCTAGAACTAGACTCAGCGTAAAAGCAATAAAAAGAAAAAAACCAACTTTAAACATGAAGTCATTCTATTCGAATAATGGCTATTAATTATCTCTCCGCACAACGTCCGTAGGTTTCTTAGCGCGATCTTAAACTAAGCTAATAATTGAAAGAAGAATTACTTTTTCTCTTCAAACGAGTGAAATTGTATTGCGTCATTTTCTTTTTCAAGTCATTGGTTACTACAACATTGAATCCTGCCTTATTTATAGTTAATAAATGCAGAACAATGAAAACGAAAGAACTTGCAGGGCGCACGCTTTTACCAGTCCACGCCCACATCTGAAAGATAATTATTCTTTCATAGTATGAATCAATGAATATGCATATATATGTATTTATCTTTAAATGATTTGTTATGGTTCATTAACTGAAAGTGATAGTACGTTGTACAAGCAATGGTAATGAAGTGATACAAATTGACTGCTTCTAAAAGCATGCACGTTTTTACTAATTGACGGTCGTTTTAATCATGCATTCTATTTTCAAAGACTAAATCTATTGATAAATGTACTGCATTCACCTGGAGGCAAAAAAATACGTATCGATTTAGCAAAAAAACAGAACATCGTCTAGTAATTGCGAAATAGTCAGTAGAGTGTATCTGCGGTAGATGACCGACGAGAATGTGAAGATGAGGCTTTTTGCCGAGAATAAATGTAATTTTGACCGTGCTGGTGAAAACGCTTGACTATATATATCATGACTTTTTCTCCGTACATACTGTGTCTCTGATTGGCATATAGTGAGTTTTACAAAAATGAACTAGTCTGAAAAAAAAATATAATGGTCTTGATCTTTATTATGAACTTTAGAGCGTTTATTATTGCTTTGCCATCGTTTTCTACATATTTTAGAACGATAGAAACGATTTCGGGTCGAAGTAGTTTTTTCGCCAATCTTGAAGAACTATTCCATAACGGATATCAAAATGAGTATTGTTAACGCCACAAAGGCTACATTTTCTACTGGGTTGGTTCACATAGCTTTTAAAAATAAAATTTTTTATAATCTTGGATTAAAGTTGATCAGTAGTTGTCATGATGGTTGAAATACTTTTTGTTGATTACATTTGGTACTAAAATATGAATGTTGAAATCATTTGATTGCTGTTCATTTTATCGCGCGTTTTGTTTTCTCTAAAGACAACATCCGGAACAAAAACTTGACTATAATCCAACTGTTTTCAGCTTGTACAACGAATGAAGTTGATTTTGTTTTCATTATGAATCTATTTCTTTATGAATTAAAAATTTCTTTTTCTGTTTCTTACGCTTAAATTACAACATTGCTTATAAACATAATTGTCAATAGGACAAACAAACAAGTATTTAATCTGTACAAAGATGCCAACGATTTTGCGACCACAATACCTTTAACACGCTTTTCACATAAATTTTTTAATGTTGTTTGATTATTATCTTCATTGATTTTGTAGCATGGCAATTGAGATTGTTGCAGTTCATTAGGACTTAAACATTCGTATCCTATTGGACCTGTACATACATCTGGTAATTTAAATCTATCGGAACGCTGTTCTAAATACCATTCGAGTGTACAATCACATTGAATTGGATTATTATCAAGATTAATATGTCTTATTGAATGAACTAATGGTTGAAAAATAGATTTTTCAAATAAACGTATTAAATTTCCATTTAAATTTAATAATGAAATATTATTTATTTGTTCAAATGCATCCGTATCTATATTCGATATTAACGATGATGATAAATCGAGCTCGCCGATATGTTCACTGCCTTGAAATGCATATGAATGTATGCGTGATATTTCACCATGAGATAAATTAAGGAGACGAATCGATGTCATATGCGAAAATGATCCTGAACGTAACGATGTATGAATACCGGTTAATAATATTGTATCACATGTATGAAATCCAAAAAAAGCAAATGGATCAATTTGTTTTATCGGGCATGTAGGCAATAAACATAAGATTAAACTGCCCACGGATTTAAGACCAAAAAATGCATATGAATGAATGACCTATTGTAATAAAAGCAAACAACATTCTATTGAACCTGCCATGTAGATTAGAGGATAGAATCGTTTTGATGAAGAGCACCTATGCGGGGAACTGAACAAATCAGATCAAGGCATGCTCGATATCAATTCTATTCGGCTATGAAATGATAAGCAGAAAAAAAGTAACACTAGTAGAATTGTTTAATACTCGCGCAATGCTCTTTCGTAAATTTATATCTTCTATTAGCGTATGTACGCGAATGAGAGAAAGTTGATGACTGACGTTCTCAAATTCTTCTGTATTGACAATTGACATTGCACACTCGCATAGTATTATTTGAGAACAAAATCATTTCGTATTAACGGATGTTTGCTGATCACTTGTCTCTTGGTTTTACGGAATAGAGTATTAACTAAGATCTTCCGTTTCTTTGAGAATTTGTTTTTTTTTCGTCTATATTTAGACTTACTTCTAATGGATTGTTACTAAGATCTAATATATCAACGAAATGTGTGTAGCGAAATGCTTCGGCATTAATAACACGTATTGAATTCGATGCAAGTGATATACGATGTACATATTCAATGTCACTAAATGAATATGCTTGTAATTCAGTTAGATTTCCATTGGCTTCAATACGAATTTCATTTAAATAAGGAAGATGACGAAATGCATGTGGCTGAATTTTAACAAGTCCAGTACTAATTATCGAAAGATAACGAAGATTTTGAAGACCCTAAAAAAACTTTTCATATGAAATCGAAAGTAACACGTGGAATTTTACGTGAAAATCATCTGTTTTAATCAATGTGATTGATGGTGTATGCACAAGATCAAAACGAATTATCGATTGTGTAAACGCCGTCAGATTATGATTTGTCGAATACCAAGAACGTGGCAAATGAGATATTGTTGTTGAATAACTGCAATCGATTGTATTCGAATGAACACAAGTGCAATCACTCAATGCTTTGAACAAATGTGGACAGTTGCTGTTTTGATTGCGATGATCAGATTCCAAATGTACAAAGTGAATACAAGTTAGTAGAACAAAGAAAAATATGTAATGTTGCCTAAAAAAAAGAATTATTTAAATTGTAGTAGATCTCTTTCCAGAAACTTACGTCATCAATCATGTGTACACATATGTGCTCGAACAGCAGAATATATAATCTGAATAGGAAATATATAGAATCAATATACTCTATCGTACAAATGGTGTCATAAACAATAAGAAACAAGTAACTTGATGATTATATTGTGGACAATAGGAATGTAGAAAAGGTTACTTATGTTATAATCTCGTAACGTACATATGTGCATATATTTCCTCATTGTAGTAGTGTCTTGAGAGGTTTTTGTTTTTATACTGATCAAAATAATCTTCAATGGCTTAAGTGGTTGTGGATTTAAGTGTCTATGCTTATGATCCCTATCAGATCGAAATCGAAAGCAGCCTAAGATAGAGTCAAAGACATTACGTGCATTGGAAAAGAACGGATTGCATCGAGTATATCATCAATCTTTTCCATATCGTAGACAGCAAAAAAAAGAAAAAGAAAAAAGATCGAAGTAAAATAAAAAATAGAAAGCTTTGATCACTAAGATTGTGTCCGTTTATCAAGGATAAACATTTTTTGTTTTACATTAAAATAAAATAAGAAAACCTTGTACGTACATGCGCAATTTGAGTCGCTAAATGTTCCTCCGTTGGCCAGTTAGTGTACAGAAATTTTCTCTTTTTTTTTGTCAGTACTATATGAGAATAGGAATCATAAAAAACAATTCTACTGGGTATATTATTCTTTATCTCCGATGAAATCGAAGATTTTTCTCTCTCTCTCCCTCTCTCTTGATGTGGTCTTATTCATTTTCGCACTTGTCTAGAAGTGCAATGGAACAACTGACTGATGAGATAATGGGAACTTATTGAGCGCGTTTGGTCAAATGATGCGTTATCATTTCCTGCTCGTTGGGATCTGTTTGAATGAAAAAAACGAAGAGGACATTGGCTAGTCCAATGTATATTCTCAGCTAAATTAGATTTTGCTTCTTCCAGTTAGCTTTTCATCGTCTGGTGAGTTATTTCCCAAAGCTGATTGTATTAGTAAGCAAGACGCAAATGAGAACAAGAAATAAGAAAGAGAAAAATTCCATTGCAAGAAACTCAATTCGATTAACTCGTTCCGCCTCCGTTTGCTGGACATATGTGTCAATCAAATGTAAATAAGAGCGGACACATACAGAACAAGAAAAAAGAGACAATTTAAAGATAGCTCTTGATTGCATCATAACAAACCGGAAAGGAGAAGAAAAAAAAATTCAATTGCAAATGTATCAAACTACAATTTGGATCGGACTACTGACGACGATAGGAAAAGAAAAAGGAACAGGAAAATATTTCTTTTTTTTTTCGTAATTTATTGTAAGAAAAAGAAAGTCGTTGATGATTGATTAGCCAATCATCCGATTATATTAAAGACAAACTTGTCAATCCTATGTTAATCCGATTTTCGAAACCGACTTGCTTTTCATATAGTTTGAACCAATGAGAAAAAAAATCATTTTTGCATTTACGAACAAAATGAATTATAAATGATTGTTAAAGTGAATGATTGAATTAATCATGAAATCTTGTCTTTAAATTAATTTAAATAAAAATATGTCAATATGATAGACAGAACATTTTCCCGACAGCATATGCGTTTTAGTTGGCCATGACAAACTCGTTTATTTCTCGGATTGAAATCATCAATATTTAATAGAGATTTCATTTTTCAGTTATATTAATAACGTTGACATACGATCGATAAATTTTTATAGAGCATAGAGGAAAATGTAAAACAAATATTAATATTCAAGGTGAAATAAGACATTTCCTATTTATAGAAGTGTAGAAAAATAAAACGCTTGCATGTTTCTAATCGATCATTAGTTTAAATAAATGATCTATAATTCTTCTTAAACTCAAGATCATATATCAAAAAGAATCCAAAATCTTTCTAAAACCAAGAAAATGTAGTCAATCCTACGGAGTTTATTATATCTATTGAACATACACACACACACACATACAAAAAGAACAGAAGATGATTGTTAAGCAGAGCCATCTGTTACAAGACAAGTCTGGTCTCTTTTCATTTGTTAACTCTGACAAGTAATTGGATGTATTCTCTATGTATGTGTCTTGTCTACTACTCTCCGGACATACATTTTCAGTTGGCTACAAACGATACCGACTTGCTCTTTTTTTTTACCAATTTACAAAACAAGAAATCAATTTTAGATGACTGAAATACATTCGTTTGGCAATTTGCCTGTCATTGCACATTCATGGAATAAAGATCGAACACGTAGGTTTTCTTCTTCGAAACAAATTTTGTTATTGAGAAACACACGAAAGATATAAGCAATAGAAATATTATTTTTCCATTAAAATAGAAATTGCTTTGTCATTGGGAAAAAATGATCTACGCATCTATCAAAAAGTAGCTGGTAAATGGAAATTAATTCATACATTATGCGAGCATTTATCACGAGTATTAGCAATTGATTGGGCACCGAAAACAAATCAAATTGTTTCAGCTAGCGCTGTAAATATAAAATGAAAAATAAAACATTTTCTTGTCGATTCTGTTGTTTTTCTATTAATAGGACTATAATGCATATGTTTGGACATTGGAAAATGATGTTTGGAAGCCACAAATGGTAGAATTACAACGAACAAATCGAGCTGTCTGCTGTGCTAAATGGTCACCTGAAGGTTCGAATGAAAGAAAAAATAGAAGAAGAAAATTCATCATTTCTTGTTGATTTTTCTCGATTAGAAAATAAATTTGTTATTGGTGCAAGTGATAAAAATGTTGCTGTATGTTATTATGAAAAAGAACAACGATTTTGGGCAGCTGAAATGATTAAGAAAAGACCAAAATCAACTGTAACTGCTGTTGCTTGGCATCCAAATAATCAATTGATTGCTGTTGGTAGTTGTGATTATCGATGCCGGTTCGGAAATTCTATTTTTTTATTAAATTTGAAAAAATAATCTGGTTTTTATTCTATAGACTTTATTCAGCTTTTGTTAGAGTTGTTGATGGTCAACCACAAACATCAAATTGGGGTACAATTAAAAATACAGGAGAACTTCTGTATGAATTTCAATCAGGTTTATTTAAAAGGAAATTTCTCGCGGTATTTCATTAAATAAATATAATTAAATTTAGAATCAGGCTGGCTTCATGATGTGGCCTTTTCGCCATTAGGTGACAATCTGGCATGGGTATCACATAATTCAATTATATTTGCTGTTTCAGCAGCTGATCCATCGCAGTAAGTTTGAATATTTATCGAAACGAAAATTTGAACTAGGTAATTTTCTTTGATTTAGAATTACGATGGAAGCAACAAATTATTTACCATTTCGTTGTATTCTTTTTATGAATGAATCAGCATTACTTGTTGGGGTATGTGTCGATAAGTCAAGAAAGTTACTTATTTTTTAATTTAAATTTTCAAGGGACATGAATTTTCTCCATTACTGTATAATTATGATCAGAAGCAAGGCAAAATTGAATTTATCGAAAAACTTGATCGACAAGAAACAGCAACTGGTCGACAATCTGTTGGGTTAGAATAGAATTTTTTTTCTTATTTAAATACTTTTACGAATATTCTCTTTTCTTTTTCTTATCGCGATTGATATAGTCAAGAAGATATGGATTTTTTTACACCATATCAAGCATCGTATGAAAAAGAATGAGTTTGCAGTGTTGAAAACAGCATGATTTGAAGTGCACTTTTTTAGTTCGAAAATTTTGGAAAATAGTTTATAAATAGATTAATTCTATTCTTAATGAGTCGTATATTCATTGTTTAGGATTGAGGTTTTAGGTGTTCTCTAGCTCGTTACTACGATATTGCTTACAGGATGATGCAAAATAATGTTCTCGCCTCCCACATTGAAAAAGAAAGAATGCAATGTATACTAATTACGAAATATTATCAAAAGAATAATTACGAAATACGTCATTTTGATGTTTTACAGTGTACAGCTTCTAATTTTCCGCAATTTAATTCTACATTAAAACGCTTTATAGAGAATTGAACGGTTCATTCTTTCTCGAACGCCCAATATTATTTAACCTTTCAATTCATTTGTATTTACATTATTTGAATCAGCCATTGTAATCGTCTGATATTTTCAATAAGATAAACCTTATTTTGAATATTCCTACTGGATTCACATATGAATTAATCTGATTAGAACAGTATACAAGATTATCATCTATGACATTTAAAGCATGACATTCTATTCATGCAATTTGTTTTTTGTCATGTTTTTCTCTGGAGTCTTGCTTGTATTAAAATTGAGTTGTCAATTTCTGATGATTGATTCACGTCTTTGTCTTTTTTTCTCTATTTTATATAGGCGTCGGTTTGATCAACCAGTTATACAAACGCAAACGCCTGAGCCTGTTTCAACGCACCAGAGCATGATAACGTAAGCCTAACCTAGGAAATGCTTCCCTGCTCAGTACAATCATTTTCTTTTTTTGCAGTCAACTTGTTCCCTACCAAAAAGAGAATGGCAATCTAGTAAAAATAAGTTCTGCAGATTTATTCGGCCAAATAGTTATATGGAATTTGAGCGACAAGGTGAATAGAACTATCTTACATTATTTATTTAGTTATGTTCTCTTTTATATAGAAAATGAAGCAATGATGAATGATCATTTCGCAAATCTATTTTTATTCTTCGCCTGATATAGTGTGCATTTTGGAATTCTATCGATTGTGCAATCGTGCTTGTGTATTTTTTTTATTCATTTACCATTTTATTCTTTCTGTAATTGTTCAGGTTTTTTAAGAAAAATTTGTTATACTCCGTTTGATTTTTTATTTATCTTATTAAAGTAATTTATCGATTAAAAACACAAAGATTTCTATTGCTCGTTCTTTTTTCAGAATAATGACCACGGTAAATAGAACAAGCGTTTTGTCTGTTACATTAGACGAATTTTTATATTGATCTATAGAAAGAAATAGTTATTGAAGCCGGCCAAGAACTGCGTGGTGATGTAGATGAGACATTGACACTTGAAGTGAGTAAATGAATGTGTTTTTTTGTTTGTTTATTTTCTTAAATCACGTTTCTCATTCATAGTTACGTTCAGGTAAAGCCGAAATATTCGGTACTGAACTAGCTATTGGTCATAAATATCAATTTACTTCTGGAATGAAATTTTCCATATTTACCTATTGGGGTTGTACAGTAAATGTAGGTTGAAATTATTTGAATTCTATCCAAATAATAGAATACTATCTAGATTGTTTCATCACACGATGATTACTATGTTGCACGAGATGAAAATCCTATGCATATCTATTTAAATGTACATGGCATGTTGGAACAATTAAGACAAAAAGCTGACGCAGAAAAAACTCGTGGACCTCGTGTAAGAAACAAATTCGATTGAAAAAAGTTTGCAATTTTATTTTTTTCTTCGAATAGATAATGGTAGCCGGTTTACCTGATGTAGGTAAAAGTACATTATGTCGAATGCTTGTGAATTGGGCAGCTCGACTAGGCCGAACGCCTATATTAGTTGATCTCGATGTTGGACAAAATCAAATATCCATTCCAGGAACCATTGGTAAAAATTAATTTCAGAGTAATCTCATTTTACTTTTCTTTTTTGTTTCTATAGCGGCTATGGTTGTTCGTCGACCAGCGTCTGTTGATGAAGGCTTCCGAATTGATATGCCACTTGTTTTTCATTATGGTTATAAAACACCCGGTGAAAATATTGGTTTATATAATGAAATAGTCTCGTCGATGGCAATGTATGTTAATATTCGCTCTGAAAACGTCGAAAAATGTAAGAAAAAAGTTTTTTAAAATTACAATCACAGTCGAAATCTACTAACTATGTAACTCATGGTAGTTCTATCTTGAAATGAGAGCATCGCGTCTTGTTGTTGGAAAGAGAAAAACGAGATTCTCTTGGATTTTTTTTTGTTATATAATTCAAATTATTAGAACGAATGTTGCTTGACTATGTTAACAGAAGCCAAACGTCATCGAATACGTTTCCATAGTAACCACAGATGTGAATCAATCATGTTCATACTCCTACCACTCGTTGCGTTGTAAACAAACATGAAAAGATTGTATAAAGAATTGAATTCTTTGAAATTTTACTATGAAGAGGAAGAGCAAAGATTTACGATGCTAATAGTAAAGTAATGTTTTTAAAAGAATCTTTATTTTAGCTCTCATCAGCGGTGTTGTTGTTAATACTTGTGGTTATATTCGTCAGGAAGGTTATGAATCTTTTAAGCATGTTGCTAAAGCATTCGATGGTAAATTCATTTCATCTGAAGAAAAATTTCCTATTAAAAAATCTTCTTATAGTTGACATCATTATCGTTCTCGATAGTGAATGGTTAGCAACGAAATTAATATCAGATTTGCCATCAGTGAAAGTCATCACATTACCGAAATCAGGCGGAGTAAATCAATTATTGAACAGAAAAACAGCAATCTCTACAATTTTCTTCTTATTAGGTTGTACCAAAAGATGCAGCTAAAGATAAATTTCGTGAAAATAAAATTCGAGAATATTTCTATGGGCCAAGAAATAATATTTGTCCACATGTGTTCACAATAGATTTTAATGATGTGAAAGTGTACAAAATCGGTGCACCACAAATACCTGATTCCTGTTTACCAGCTGGCATGATCTTAAAAAATCCATACAATAAAATTATGCCGATTGCTCCAAGTAACGAACAAAAACAAAATCTATCATGAGAAAAATCTTAATATTGTTCGTTTTTTTTCCATAAAGGTCCCACATTGGTGCATCACGTTTTGGCAGTGAGTAGTTCAAGTGATCCTGAACAATTATTAGCAAAGAATCTACTAGGCTTTGTTGTTGTGTAAGTTTTCTGACGAAAATAGTTATAGAAATTTGATTATGGCTTCTCTCATTCTCTCTATTAGACAACATGTCGATCCAGATAAACGTTCATTGACACTTCTTTCACCACAACCTAATGTGAAAAATAGACTTCTCATTATGTCCGATGTACTATTTGTTGATTTGAAATGATATCTTTATGTGTATAAAGCAATAAAAAACAAAAAAGATTGATGATGACTCTACTTAACTTTATTCAAGAGCTTAAGAAATAAAATTACTTTTTTTTTGTCTGTTACAGATTTAAAAAGTATCAACGACATTTGCTTACTCTTATCTCGATCTTCTATTTCTAATGCATTTTGCGTGCGTGTTGGCTATTAAATAGAAAACTATGTCTATTTGATCTACGCAGAGAATCATATTATCATCATGCATTCTATTGGCTCTATTCACGCTACTTACTCGAAAGAAAGAGAAGAAAAGAAAAATCATGGTCGTCGTCGATCGCTCCTATGATTTGCTTGAACGTGGACATAAAATCGAGCACAGACTCGCGGAGTAACAACAAGGCTAATAAATAGTTTTCAAGTGCGTAGTTTCTACAAAAGAACGTGCTGTTACGGTTTGTAATTATGTTTGTTAAATAATTTATTCTATGCTACGATTTATTAAAAAAAAAAGAAGACGGTCCACATCTGACACTCATGCATTTTAATTTCCCTCTACATAAATATATTCGTCGATATTGTTTTTCTCTCTTTAGATGATATAATTTTTACTCTTGACAACTCTCGACCATTATTTGAGAGAAAAATATTTCAACGTAATTTTTTATTTTTGTACATAAAATAAAGCATACAACTGGACTCTGCAAAATTAATTGATTTTACTTCCTCTTCGAGTGTTTCTAGCTCGCTAGAGGATCATGAATTCCCATCCGTATCCAATCAAACAAAAAACGATGGAACGAATTTAAAAGGCATTATGACATTTATCAATTCTGATGCTGCCTGTCGTGTTTCGACTCAGGAGATAATAAAAATCTTACAAACGGACGCTAAACTAGGCTTAAATGAAAATGATATTCAGCTACGACAAAAATTCTACGGTCATAATGATTTCGATGTTGATGATGATGAACCAATATGGTTAAAGTATTTAGGACAATTTAAAGAGCCTATGATATTATTATTACTTGCATCGGCATTGATTTCGTTAATATTGAAGCAATACGACGATGCAATATCAATCACTGTTGCTATTATTATTGTTGTTACTGTTGCATTTATTCAAGAAAATCGAGCAGAAAAAGAGATAGAAGCACTGAAAAAACTTGTACCGCCGAAATGTACATGTATACGAGAAGGAAAAAGTCATTTCATCTACGCACGAGATTTAGTACCGGGAGATTTATGCATTTTGGATATTGGTGATCGTGTACCTGCTGATTTACGTTTAACAGAAGCTAACGATATATCGATTGATGAATCCTCATTTACTGGTGAAACAAAACCATCAGTTAAAACAATTGAACCACTTGTATTTGGCTCACGATTAACATCTATTAGTGATAGAAAAAATGTAGCGTTCATGGGTACACACGTACTGAATGGCAATGCTAAAGTAAGTCGAATTCAATGAAATTTCATTTCATTAATTTTAATCTATTTTGAAGGGTATTGTTATATGTACAGGTGAAAATTCAGAATTTGGTAAAGTGTTTCAACTGATGCAACAACAAGAGGTAGCCTAGAGAATTAAGATGTTTTGCTGGTATGAAAAGAAATTTGTTTTCTTATTTCGATATTATAGGCACCGAAAACACCATTACAAAAGAGTATGGATACACTGGGAAAGCAACTATCATTTTATTCATTGAGCATTATTGGATTTATTGTTATTGTTGGATGGTTACAAGGACGGCATCTTCTTGAAATGTTTACTATCGGTGTTAGGTATAAAAAAAACTTGACTATCAGAACTTTTTGGCATAGAAATCTGAAATTGTAATGTATTATTTTAGTTTGGCGGTAGCAGCTATTCCTGAAGGTTTACCTATTGTTGTTACTGTAACATTGGCGCTTGGCGTTCAACGCATGGCGAAAAGAGAAGCAATTGTTAAAAAGTTACCTATCGTTGAAACACTCGGTAGAGAATAATTTCTTTTTTCTTTTTTTAATAATTATGTATTTGCTTTTTCTGTACTGCAGGTTGCGTTACTGTCGTATGTTCAGATAAAACCGGAACATTGACAAAAAATGAAATGACTGTAACGAATATTTTGACATCTGATGGTCAAGTAGCTGAAGTTTGTATTTCGACAAAAAAAATATTTTCATATTTTGAAAAATTTAATTTCTTATTAGGTAACTGGTTCAGGTTATAATAGTGACGGTGATGTTATCTGCGGTACACAACGCATTACCTATGATTCGCACCCATCTATTTCAAAAATAGTCGAAGTAAAATTAGCTAAGCGATATTTTAAAAATGAATGATTTGTTTTTCGCAAAGGTTGGAGCCGTCTGTAACAATGCTGAAATAATTAATTTTCAACTACGTGGTCAACCAACTGAAGGTGCTCTACTTGCTGTTGCTATGAAAGTAAGAATTATCGTATAGAATGCTTTCAAATGTATCAAGACTCTTTTTCTTTCTAATAGATGAATCTTCCGCATCTTCGCGAACAATTTCATCGTGAACATGAATGGTCATTTACTCATGAACATAAATGGATGGCTGTAGAATGTATACCGAAATATAATCCAGTCAGTTTTTATTTTCATTTCTTTTCATCTTTGAAACAGTTTATTTTTGTTTGTTTAATAATAGAATGAAACGCGTGTGTATTTTAAAGGGGCAATTGAGCAAGTATTAAGAATGTGTAAACAATTTTTATACCATGGAACACCAGTACAATTGACTGATGAAAATATACGAGAATTTCTTATGGATTCAAATCAAATGGCAGCTAAAGGATTACGAGGTATGAATATTTAGCAATAAAACTGTTTAGGGCTTCTCGTTTTTTTTTGTTTTAGTTATTGCCATGGCTATTGGAACATCACTAGATGATTTAGTTTATGTTGGTATGGTTGGAATCATTGATCCAGAACGACCGCAAGTTGCACTAGCTGTATCACAATTAAAAGCTGGTGGTGTTCAAGTGAAAATGATAACGGGTGATGCTGAAAAAACAGCAAAAGCTATTGGTAACGAGCATTGACTATTGTGATTATATTGCATTTCTTTTGGATTTGTTTAGCTACTCGTTTGAAGATCTATCATAATGCTGATCTGAGTATTTCCGGTGAAGATCTTGAGCATATGAATGCAGCTGAACTTGATGCAGCTATTGCAAAAGCAACAGTTTTCTATCGTGTTAGTCCGGTTCATAAACTAACCATTGTTAAAGTAGGTTTTGCCACCGTTGAAATCAGCTAAACTTTGTTTGTTTTTTCTTATAAAGGCTTTACAAGCACAAGGGCATATTGTTAGTATGACAGGTGATGGTGTCAATGATGCTGTTGCATTGAAAGCAGCTGATATTGGCATAGCTATGGGACAAACAGGAACTGATGTTTGTAAAGAAGCAGCTGATATGATTCTTGTTAAAGATGATTTTTATACAATAATGTAATTGAAATATGAAATTGATGTCTTTATAAAAAAAAAATTTTTTGTATTTTTAGGGCAGCGATTGAAGAGGGTAAAGCAATATTTCATAATATAAGAAATTTCGTTCGGTTTCAATTGAGCACGTATGTCGATTGGGAAACAAGTGCTTCGTTTAATTGATGATTTTCGTGTTTTTTTCTTATCGTAGGAGTATTGCAGCTTTAAGTTTAATTACACTTTCAACTGTTTTTCATTTTCCAAATCCATTAAATGCTATGCAAATTCTTTGGATTAATATTATCATGGATGGACCACCAGCTCAAAGGTTTCTTAGATCGTGCATAACGAATTTTTTTAAAATCTAATTTTCAATAAATTTTAGTCTGGGTGTTGAACCAGTTGATCATGATGTATTAAAAAAACCACCGAGGAAAGTAACCGATTCAATGATTGATAGAAGACTGATTATTAACATAATTACAAGTGCCGTGGTAATTGTTGTTGGAACTTTATGTGTTTTTTATGCTGAAGTATGTCTCATGGGCACGTGTATTTTTATGAAAATAAAATTATTGATTTTAGATGCGTGACGGAAAAGTGACACCACGAGATACAACAATGACATTCACATGTTTCGTCTTTTTTGACATGTTTAATGCACTTAGCTGTCGATCTCAGGTAACAAAGTAGATTTATTTAACCAAAAAATAAAATAAACTTTATATTTTAGACGAAATTTATTTTTGAAATTGGCTTTTTTTCAAATCGAGTTTTTCTTATTGCTGTCTTACTTTCGATAGCTGGTCAAATGGCTGTTATTTATTTTCCACCGTTACAATATGTTTTTCAAACAGAAGCCTTAAGTGCATCAGGTAATTGCATGAGACATAAAATAATGTTGCCCGATGATTTAAATCGCTTTTGAAATGCAATATATTTTCTCTGTTTAGATTTACTCTACCTTACCTGTCTGACGTCGTCTGTATTTTTTGTTAGTGAAATACGGAAATTGATAGAGAGATTATGCATTAAATCTCAAGGCAATCAGAAATATGTTACGAACAATCATTGGATGGTTTAAATGCATATAGAGATAAAAGCTATTTATTTATTTATTTTCAAAACAAAACAAGATCTTAGACAAAAGAAATGGATTCTAACCGTATTCAATTCGTGTCAAAACGAAATTCTCTTTTAATTTATTCTTCTTCTTAATTTTTTTTTGTTATTTCTTAATGATAATTGCTTATTGACGGAACTACGTGTCAAATATATATAATAATTTTAATTATTTAATTAAATAAAGAAATGTACAAATAAATACTACGTAACACATCATTTCTCTGGTATTCAATCGCAAAACAAGCGACATTTTTAACGTGTACTATCAATATTATCTAAAGAACAAACTTGTGTATCTAACTTTTATGTCTTGTTAAAGATAAGAATATTTAATTCTCTTATTTATTTATTTCTACGTCGTTTTTCGACGAACCAAGAGCAACAGATACATCTTATTTTCATTGCATTCTTTGTTGTCACAAGAGGATTCGTAAAACTACAGGCCTAATATAATAGTCTACACTAACTATGACGACATCTTTCCAATATTTTAATTGATTTCAGCGTCTGACAAATCAAATCGTTCTTCATGTCTACCTACCATCTCACACGTGTATAATATTATTTTTAGATCAATAAAATAGTACAAATGGCATTGTATCAAAAGACGTAATGATCAAATAAATATTTCTATACGAAAATTAAATCTTTCAATTTCATTTAAATAGCATCGAAAAATTTGAAGCAATACTTAAGTGTGATAGAATTAATTTGGAAGAACTTAAAACTCTTGCATTTAATGGTAATGAACCTTTCAAATGAAACAGTTTATATGAAATAATTATTTCTCTCTAGGTTGTCCAACTGATAATGGCATTCGTAGTTTAACATGGAAGGTAGACAAAAAGAAAACATCAAAAGCTAAATTAAATTCAAATATTTCATAGATTTTACTTAATTACCTCTTCGTTGATCGAACAAAATGGACATCGTATTTATCTAAACAACGGTAGAATAATAAAAACAATAATTGATATGATTGCTTAATCAATAAATTCTAGTGACCATTATCGTGGTTATATTCGAGAAACTATCATAAAACCTGGTCTAAAATCGACGTCTCACTCGGATATTGTTGATCATGTAAGTGATGAGATGGGATAAATAGAATTGTTTTTACTGAATAATATTTTATTTAGCCTTTAAATTGTGCAGCTGATAGTTCATGGACAGCTTATTTTAAAGAAAATGAAGTTTTACTACAAATTGACAAAGATGTTCGGTGAGATTTGGAAATATAAAATCGAATGTTTCTCGAATAAAATTTTATTTTCAATAGACGACTTTGTCCTGATCTATGTTTTTTCCAACGTAAAACAGATTATCCATGTGCTGAGATCATGAATCAAGAGGTTGGCTTCGAAAGCTTACGTAAACGCATTATATCAACATCACTTAAAGTTGAGTCCCAGTCTCATTCACGTTTAACTGGCCGATTAGAATTTCAATCCAATAGATCCAAATGTCCAACAATCGACGATAATGAATATGAAGTATTAGCGAATGGTTCTGAAGCACATTGGCAAGTTCTTGAAAGAATTTTGTTTGTTTTTTCACAACTCAATTCAGGACAAAGCTATGTACAAGGCATGAATGAAATTATTGGACCCATCTATTATACATTTGCTACCGATCCTAATCTAGAGTGGAGAGGTAAACTAACAAAACTCAAGAAATCTTAAAACTATCGTTCCTATTTTAGAACACGCTGAAGCCGATACATTTTATTGCTTTACAAATTTGATGATACATTTACGAGAAAATTTTATGAAAGTTTATGATAAATCAGAATTCGGTATTCTTGGACGTATGCAAAAATTTTCAATGCTTTTGAAAGAACTCGACAAAGAAGTACATGAGTATTTCGAACAGGAAAATTTAAAACCTGAATTTTATGCATTTCGCTGGTTGACATTGTTACTTTCACAAGAATTTCATCTACCAGATGTTCTACGTATATGGGATTCATTATTTGTTGATCATGAAAAATATTTAGACTTTTTATTATATATCTGCTGTGCCATGGTTATGTATGTTGAGATTTTATTGAAAGATAATTTGAATAAAAAAATTGATTTTCTCATTTAGTCTACAACGAGATCAACTTTTAAATGGTTCTCAAGCACAAAATATTAAACTATTACAAGTTTGTTTATAAAAATCAAAAATATTTCGTTTCGTCTTATGAGATTTTGTTTTAGCATTATCCACCAGATACGGATGTACATAAAATTCTCCAAAAAGCAGTTGAACTCCAACGTATTCATAAAGCGTGAAGCATTTATTTTTATTGTTTTATCGAATAATACGACGTATAAATGCATCTGTTCAGATAATGATAAATTTCAAGATTCCATTTGGCTTAGTCTTCCTGTGTGCAATATGAAATTGTAATTGAATAATTATTTTTATTTTGTAATTTGATCTTTTTGCTAATAAATAAGCAAGAAATTTGTCTCTAGTACATATAGTAAAAAGTAATTTGCTTCCATCTGAGATTTTAGATTTGTTAATATTCAGTCAATGAAATTTATAAAATGACAACTACTAAAGAAGTAAGAGAGGAAAAGTTTAGTGCTGAATTTTTATTGAATAAATATTCTAGGAGGAAGATATATTTGAAATAGTTGATTATACAACTGCGTCTGATTGGGAACGGTAAATAAAAGAATTTGAAATTCTCATCAAAGTTACGTAGTGCATTTTATAGATTTATTGCAAGAATAGAAGAAATTCTTTCGGATTGGAAATTAAATGGCCCTGAAACATCAAATACTGAAGTCAGATCTTAGTTTTTGTTTTTGGAATAATAAAATGCTTTTCTGTGATAAAATTTTCTTAGGTCGATTTCACTGATGGTGAATGGATCGAGCGGAATGAAGCACTCGAATTCGGTGATCGTTCTTATACAATCAGTCATTTCTCGTTACAAGTACCTGAAAGTAATTCAACAGTAACAACAGACAATAATCCACAAATGACCACATCTGTATCCATAGAAAAACAAGCATGTAAGAATGATCTACGTCAAGATTTTCTTTATTTGATGAATTATATTCAGTCGTTCCACCGCGAGCTATGGCCGATATGATGTCCAGACGAAATGATTTTCCATCGCGTTCTCCGTAAGTTCTGAAAGACGCTTTACTTTTCTGTCAAACTTCAATTTTAGATATTTATCTCATTGGTATGGTCTAAGAGAATTTCTTATTCTATCACCAAAACGTAATACCGATCCTATAGCTGATGAAAGTCGAGCTAATATATTACTTAGTTCAACGGCTATAGCTGTTTCAAATGTTGGATGGTAAGAACAAGAGAGATTTTTTTGTTGAAACAAATCAATATTTAATTGTAGTAATGTTCCTATATTTATTCGTGTTCAACATGAATGGCGTAATATGTTTATTGGTCTATGCGAAGGATCTGGTCTTCGTACACATTTTAATGTCTGCAATTTAAAAAATGCTCCACATCAATATCGACATCTAGCTGGTCTATTGGAAATATTTAAATCAAAATTAGTAAATAATATCTTGTTTTTATTTGTATGTAATTTTTACACTATCGTTCATAGGGTTCTCATATTCCAAATGATATAGTCATAATGGTTGCTGTTCGATTTACGTATGTGTTAAGAGATTTCGAATCTACAGTAAGTCGACAAGTTCTACCAAGAGATGAAACAGGCATGCCGATCCTAACGAATCTTCCGTTTGGATCTATTCATGATCCAGTTAGGTAAAAAAGAACAGGATAAATAATCAAATATGTTAAAAGTCGTGTTTTTAGTGGTCTTCATCTGTCATGTACGTGGCCAATATTTTCTGAAGAAGTCGTCACTGAAAACGATGATTGCAATGATTTTGATCCATTACTTTCTCAACAATGGGCTATTGGTGTTACTCTATTAGAAGAATTGCCTGTATTGCTAAGTGATGCTGTTCAAGAATATCTAAATTTATCGACAAAACGAGAAACGATCGAACAATTGTTAGGAAAATTTCAAACTGCTGATGGTAATTTTGATTTGAGAAGAGAGATACCATTTTGATGATTTTCAGGACATAGGAAAAAATCGAAACCGTTGCGTAAGATAAAAGCTTAATAAAGGAAAGAAAATAAGTACTCCGCTCAAGATGCTCGATTTAGAAAAAACGGTGGAGATTTATTTTTCAAATATTGTTGTTTTTCGTGTATAGAAATACCGAATGCTTCAATGAATATGTCTGATCCTATCAAACGAATATCCGATAGTCGTACACAACAATATTGGACATCTATTTCTTCTTCGATTTCCAATACAACGAGTCGATTGCGAGTTAATATTTTCAATCCTCCATTACCACCCAACGTTGTTGAAAAAACGATAGAAGTAAGTTTTTGTAAAATATTCATTCTCTGTGTAATCGTTTATCGTTTTAGTATCTTTTCAATGAATCTGCAACAGTCGAAAGGCGACGATCGATTGTAAATGAATTACCTAATGTAAAACTAGTTTTCTTTGTGAATTTGAATTTTTTTACTGATGATGTGTGTTTCAGGATACGGAACGAATTCGTCAATTAAAATCAGTGCCTAAAGATAGTTTTGTCTATCGTGTTGTTGTATGTTTTACTGCGATATGTAGTTTACCGTCTATCAATCGTTTACGGTCGATTGCTCATTTGTGGTTTGATATCGTGCAAGAACTTCGTACATGTTGGGAAACCGGGAAAATGATACCTGGGTAAATACAATTTTTTCACATTCTTAAATATCATTTTTTCAATCTTGATCCAATAAAATTTCTAGGTTAGAATCTGGTTCACCTAATTTATCGTTTTCAAAATTCTATCAAAATTTACAAATGCTCAATTGTTGCATCGAACATCGTGTACGTCATGAGAACGATTCAACAACAACAACTGTTGATAATCCAATCGAACCAGATGAGGATGGTGATCAATTTTTTGAATGTTCATCAAATATTTCATCATCAAAATCAAATTTAACAGAATTACAACCTGAAGGTCGCCTTAAACCATGTGGTGATTTAAAATTACTTAATTCAAATGAAATTCTCTATGTGCCTGTGACTCAGGTACTTCAGAAAACTCTGCAATTCTTCTATGTGAGAGATTCTTCTAATTATAGGAATGCCCACCAGCAACAGAAGATATGCTTGATGAACAAACAGCTATATTAACTAGTTTAGGTTCAGGTGAAGACGCTACCTTATTACGTGCAAAAATGCAAAGTCGATCACTTTTGTCCGATATGGAAAGTTTTAAAGTAAGCTACATAAACATTAAAATCGAAACCATTACCGATAACGGTGTTGTATTTCAGGCAGCAAATCCACTAGGTACAATTGAGGACTTTGTACGATGGTATTCACCACGAGATTGGATTGAGACCGAAGAAGTTGATGCCGATGGAAATACTCAAAAACATTATTCACTTAGTCCTCGTATGCAACTGCCAGATAATCTATGGGTCGAAGTATGGCAACAAGCACGTCCCATACCCGTTCGTCGACAAAAACGATTATTTGATGATGGAAAAGAAGCAGAAAAAGTCCGATGAGAATAGTTTGTTGATATTCAAATAAATATTTCATTTTTAATAGATTCTTCAAAAGTTATCATCTCTATCGCCGGGTGAAATTCTAGAACAATTGATTCCAGTACTGCTACATACCGTTTATGATCGTATAGCTAAAGAGAGTATGCAAATTGTCTTTAATTCTATATGCGATTTCATTTTTCTGTCTTTATTTAGTTGAAGAAATGGAAGAATCGAATGCAATAGCGTTTTTAGAAACTCTCAATGCCAAAGAAGTGCTGATTGTCAAAGGAAGAGAAGAACGGAAAAAGAAATTGCAACAAGTATTTATTTAAAATAAAATAAACTATGTAAATAGTTATATAATGAATCGGTTTAGGATTTCATTATATGTCTTACTTCTGTTGAACAATATATATGTCGATTTAAATCGTTTAAAGAAAAACTTTTCTCTCCAGATCTTAATCACAAAGAAAAAGTTTGTAGAACCTCTTTGTAAAATAATCAAAAAAATATATGCGATCTATTTTATCTAGGAAGAAATGATTAAAGTGGTAACAGAATTGCATACGCGTCCTGAAATTCCTGTCAAAGCTGCAGCACATGGTCGACTTGGAAAACGACTAGCATCATTATTTACGAAGACTAAACCAACAACAAATCAGGTTCGCCATAAAAACATTTTTTTCTTCGTTATTTTTATTATTTATATTCACAGGCTAACAATGATTCTACAGAAGTTAAAAATCAATTTATGACTCCGGCCGGTAAAGAATATATACTTCGTGCTTCCATCGCTCGACCTTCGAACTTACGATCAAGGCAATCACCACAACGAATGTATTGTATGTTGGCGCAAGATGAATTTCGACTATGTGGAGCGTTTTCCGAAGATACGACTTTTTTTTAATATGCATTCACTTTCTTTTTTTTGTTCTTGCAATATAATAACAGTCGATATATTCTCAATTTGTATAATCAGTATCTTTTTGAAAACAATAAATTTAACGTATCCAATGAAAATTTCATCATGAACGAATATATCTCGTCGAATCGGACTAATCCCTTTCTTGTTCTTGTGTTTACATGGACGTCCGCCATCGTCGTTACTGATATTCTATATAAGCATCGAGTTATCCGAACTAGTCCATTATACTATCAACGTTTAGACACAATATGAAGTAAATAAACAAAAACGTTTTGTTAATGAAATTTCGTCTATGATTATCTATTTGCAGTATTTCATCTTTACAAAATTTCCTAACTGGATCAACACGTAAACGACCCGCGTTTATTAATACAGATAAAGAAAATTTACCATTGACTGTGTAAGTTCTGGAATATCGTTTTCAGTAATGTAAAACTAAATATTTTATCTATTACAGTGATTCGGAAATTCCAACTAAACAATCGCGTGTTGCACTTGGATCGGCATTAATTGATAATAATTTGTTTAATTCAAGTAAATAGATTTTATTTTATTAGATAAAAATCTATAATTTTATTTTTATTGAAGTACCCTATTCACCACCTGAAGATTTCATCATCAAAGCAGTAGATCGTAAGTTTTAACAGTATAATTTTTATTTTGTTTTAATTGTAATTGTTTTTAGCTTGGTCACCGATTGAACCCGATCAAATTCATCTGACACCGGCTCATGATCGTCGAGCTAGTAGTAAGAAAAAATATTATTTCAGAAATACACGTTCTATCTATTACTATTTAAGATCGTTCAGAAACACGTTATAAAAATGGTTCATTTCGTCAAGTATTGAAATGGGTTCGTTCATTAGGTCAATATGGTGATGGAAACAATGCATTTCGCGAACCAAATAGCGTTGCATGGCTTGAATGTGGAAAACTTGCTGTTGTCGATACCAATGCTCATTGTATTAAAGTATTTGATAGTGAAACGGGCCATTTTGAATATTCATTTGGTCGTGGTAGAACAATCGGTTGTCAAAATTTACTTTATCCCTACCGTATAGCCGTTGTACCTGGTGGTGATGATCAATTAGTTGTTATTCAACGTCATCCTCGACCACAAATTCATGTGTTTAGTGCAAAAGGCGAATTCATTCGTCGATTCGGCCAACATTTAGAAAAACCACGAGCACTTACTGTTGATCAATCACGTCGTATTATTGTTATTGAATCACAATTACAAAAACTACATATATTTTCATTGGAAGGAAAAATTCTTTCGTTATTTAATTTAAGTGAACAATTACAATTTCCAACATCGATCTGTTCAAATAATCATGAAATCTTCATATCAGATAATCATCTTCATTCAATTAAAGTATTTTCATACAATGGACAACTGTTACGTGAAATAAAAGAGGCAAATTATATAACATATCCAACAAATATTAAATTAAATTCCTTAGGACAATTAATTACCATTGATAATCATCAAGGTTTAAACATCACTGTCTATGATGACTATCAACAAAAGAAACGTTTAGGTGCTTATACAGCTCGAATTTGTCATTCACAAATTCTTGATGTTGCCATTCAACCAAAACAAAATATTCTTCATTTAGCTTCGAAAGATTATCGTGTCTATACTTATCAATTGCCATTATAATTTATATGCGAATGTTGAATATAATCAATCCAAATTCCAACGAAGTTTTCTGTCTATTTGATTTTCGAGTTTTTATTCTTTTTTTTTATTTGTATTCTTATCCGAAGATTTTCTATTTCTAATTTAATAATGACATACTTTTAATAAACTTTATTTCTAAATCGTAAGACCACTGTTGGGATAGAAATGATAATAATAATATTTGACGGTCGGCTAAAGTAGTCGAAATTTATTCATTTGAAGCCAGCTACGAATAAAATTTTGATATCTAATGTAGTAATCTCAAAAAGTTGACTGTTACTGGAAACTTCTGAATTTATACTAAAATATTACTTTAAATCTACTATAATCAACTGCATATTGGGAATGAAGATGTTAATTTTCTAAACCAGAAATCGACCTTCGAGCAACCGCAGATAGTGGTTCGGTTCAATGCATCATTCAACCACTACAAAACTCTGTTCAATGTTCAACTAAAAATAAATCTCATGTAATAGGGAAACAGTTGATTTTAAATGATCTTGAGAAATTTCAATGACGATCTTTCGCAGAATCAATTGAATTCATCTTGCTACATTTGTTATTTTTCACATGTTAGGTTGAAGCAGCTCATTTCGATCATATTCTGTTTTTATTAGAACAAAGTAGATGTTTCTCTACATTAAAAATAGCTGACAATGTTTGAATAACTCAATACTTGTTACCGTTATTGAATGAACGTGGTAACAGGGTGTGGGTGTGGGTGGGTGTCAGTTTCTCTTGTTTCACCCACACCCACACCCTGGGGAACAATAAGGGTCTGTGATACTATCTTTCTTTTATGTGTGAAATCGATCTGTTGAAGCTATACTGAATTATGGGTCACACAATGAGGTTTGACGATTTCTGAGCATATCCATCCTTACAGTAAAATGAATCTAGCGTCACAACAACTCAATGAATTTCGATAAAATTTTTACCATCAATATCCACTATGCAGACTTTCAAAATAACATGTCTCGCAGCTCATGAGGCTTTGATGTTCTGGAGTTATGACGTTCACGATGGAAATGAATCCTATGCATCATAACTCTCTTGTGACTCAGGATATGAAGGCGTGGGTTTTGCCGCTGTCCTACATTATTCGAGATCTATATTAGCATTGATAGTTCTTTAAATCATCCATATAGCGTTCAAAATGAATTTTTAGTGCTATTTTTTCACTTTTTTCAGATATATAGAAATTATAGGAAAAATGACTCGAAAATAGGAAATTATAGGAGGACTTTACAAAATATGGGAAAAATAGGACGACTACGAAGCCTGATACACATGGGTAGGTTGTGGGTTCTCACATACTACTGATACTGAATTGAACAATCCTGATCATTGTCAGAAATTCTTACGATGAGCAGTTAAGTAAGACAGCAGACGTGAGGAATAACATCTATCTTGGTTTTCAAAATGGTCTTCAATGATAGTGAAATGTAAGATATATTGATCCAATTTCTCTCTGGTTTACGTATCGAACATCGTCCGTCGTTAAGGATCACTTTCCCATAATCCAATCCACAGCCAAGGATGTGATTACACTAGTAACATCTC